CTATACTCCTAATACAAAATATCATTCATCTGGTATAGTGGCTTGATATATGTAAAACAATCCATCCAGTAGGTCATTCAATTATTTTATTGATGTGACTCTAAGATAGGTAGGACTTAACCTTTATGATTAATCCATACTTCCATCCATAATAGGTAAGACTTAGTGTTTGAACTAATCCATCCCCAGAATAGGTAGATCTTAGTGTTTTGAACTAAGCCATCCCTAATATGCCACCGTCCCATACCGGTGCATATACACATATATAAGTAGGACTTAACATTTATAGTTAATCCAACTTATTTCCAGATAGGTGGGACTCAGTATTTTTAACTAATCCATCCCTAGTATGCAACCGTCCCATACCGGTGCATACCATCCTCCAATTAGCACAATTGATAAAACAACACTATATATTCATTCAACCATTCCCCAAACTATGCATCAATATAAATTTATACATATATCAATATTAGGCATTCATTATAGAGCCTAAAAATCATATTCCAATAATGTAAATTGCTAAAATAAAACTAAGCATTTACATTCTCCAAATCATCCATAAACTGATACAGTTAAAAGCAAGGTAAATATCAATTTGTTCCAACACAAACATGGTTAATTTCAAATAATCCATGATACTTATAACCCTGTTTAAATATGATTAATCAACATTGAATCACATATAAACAATTCTCTAAGTTCCAATGTGTAAGCTGATTAACAATCAAAGTGCAACATGTAAGAATTTTCCCTAATTTTACATTATCCAATCCCTACTCCATTTATGAATTATTGTTCCCCTATATTTTTACAGGTTTATAACAATCATAAACAACATTCTAAGCAGTTTAAATGAACTAGAATTACCCTGCACAACCCAAACAACACCCTAAAAATCATATTCCAATAATGTAAATTGTTAAAATAAAACTAAGCATTTACATTCTCCAAACCATCCATAAACTGATACAGTTAAAAGTAAGGTAAATATCAATTTGTTCCAACACAAGCACTGAATTTCAAATAATCCATGATACTTATAACCCTGTTTAAATATGATTAATCAATATTGAATCACATATAAACAATTCTCTAAGTTCCAATGTGTAAGCTGATTAACAATCAAAGTGCAACATGTAAGAATTTTCCTTAATTTTACACTATCCAATCCTTAATCCATTTATGAATTATTGTTCCCCTATATTTTTACAGGTTTATAACAATCATAAACAACATTCCAAATAGTTTAAATGAACTAGAATTACCCTGCACAACCCAAACAACACCCTAAAACCATCTGTACGCAAAACTGGGTGAGAGCAGGCTCCAAACAATTGAGAGCCTACTCCTTTACATTGAGAGCCTGCTCTAGGCAGCATGGAGCCGGCTTCATGTCCTTTGGAGTCGGCTCCATTGATGAGGGAGCTGGCTCCCTTCTTTTGGGAGCCTGCTCTCTCCATCCTTGAAGCCGTTCCGCCTATCTGCTTCGTCTTCCTTGCTTCCGGTGATTCCCAAGCCCTCTGTATTTTTTTTAAACACTTGTTCTAATGTTCATTCAATGTCCCAGTTCATTTTAAAACATCAACAAGCATCAACAAACTCAATTAACCAAGGTTTAACAACATACACAGAATGATGAAATTAAACGGTTTAAGAACTTTCAAAACTGTTTAATTCAACAGAGCAATTTCAGTTTACCCAAGCCTCTGTAAATCTTTTAATACATGTTTTAATGTTCAATCAATGTCCCAGAATAAGTATAAAGCATCAACGATAGCAATTAAAGTAAGCTTAAACTCAAACAAAGCATACATCAATTAACAGAACGGTAAGAACTTGTAATCCAGTTTAATTCAACAAAATTACATATGGTTAAAGCATGCATCAACGACTTGTTTTAACCTTAATTAAACCCCTGGAGTCTACCTAAGCATACACAGAACACAGGTTAAAGGGAAAGAGTAAAACAGAGACTTGCCTCTAAGTTTCGAATTGAAACCTTTAACCATCCTCTGTCTAGATTTTCCGGCGACCTCTGATTGTCGTCAAGGGCTCCTCTGCTCCGGTTCTAACCCTCAAACAGCCCTCAACCTTCCTTCTTGGTCCGGTCTAATTCGTTGGCCAAAACCCTAGCTTTTTCTTTCTTAGTTTCTCTCAAAAACCTCTCTGTATTCTCCCGTCCCTTACTACTGTTATAAGGGTTTTCAAAACCCCTATTGTAGACCATCGTATATATTTATATAAGTTAAATAAAACCCTAACTCCAATCCAATTAACTAAGTCGGCTAAATAATAAAAGAAAAGAAGAATAAAATAAAAATACAATTATATCTATATAAACTGCCCTATACGTTTTAACCAGTTATATACATATAATTTCACATTACTATATATATATATATATATATATATATATATATATATATATAACCCAATAACATATTATTAATATTAACACCCTTAAAATTAATAACAACAATAATAACAATCTATATTTGCCAATATATACGCGAGCATATATATAGATACCACCAACCATAAATGGGAATTACTTGTGCACATCTGCAAACTCTATTCAAGTAGTCCATGAGACCCACTGTTGGTCCATTACTACGATCCCAAATCCATCAAGTTAAACTAAAAAAAATAAAACAAAATAAAAGTCACATCACAATCAAATAACAAATAATCTCATGCAACACTTAATGTAAACACAACACTTAAGCATACACAAAATCAAACAATTAATTCAATTACGCATATGTCATAAAAGCATCTAACCATGTAGCCACGTAAACAACAAAAATTAATAAAATAAAATAATAAAAAATACCAATTATATCCTTGTAAAACTAGGGGTATTACAGGTTGCGAAGGGTGAATCAGGGTACGTCGGCCGGATCGTTTTGAGTTGTGGATTGGAGGTGGAGTTGGAGGTGGAGGTGGAGGTGGAGGTAGCGGTGCTCGGGCAAGTTCGGATCGGCGGCTACGAATCACAGGTGACAATGGCCTTAAAGAACCCAGTTCAGGCACAAGGGTCGGCCGAATCGACTTTTGATGAAGTACCAGTGATGAACATAGGAATATAGGAGGCAGTGGCCGGAGGGATACATGAGAACGAGTTAGGGCTTGGTGTCGTACGAGTCAACTTGGAAGATGAGGTCACCTTTCGGATTAATATAGAAAGATGAGAGAGAAACATGGTTTTGTAAAAGGAAAGAAGTGAAGGAGTCCTAAGAGCAAAATCGTAACTTTAACAATACACAAATTTTTTAGATTTTTTCATTAAACAAATAGTTTTAACTCTAAAGACAAAAATGTAAATTCATATCAATCCATTAACCACAAACAGTTAATTTGGGGCCTTTTATTATATTGTGGCATCTTCTATCTAAAAACTTGAAGGGTTCTTTGTGTAATTTCCTTAAATAAAAGAAAGAAGTTATGAGTCATATACAGACTAAATCAGATAGAAGATTCCCAAGGCAAGGTTTCTGGAGTGTATATGGAACATATATACATGATATGAAAGGCATGAAAATATGGATACACTAACATAGACATACATTTAAATGCACTAATTAATGCACTGATATATATATATATTCTGATAGAATGTAAAATTTAGAATTTTTTTTTTCCCATGAAAAGGCACTCGAAAAGTCAAATGGTCAAAATGAATTTAACAGACTGGCTGAATGGTCTGATATGCCAAATCAGGCTGGTAAGTCACAAAATAGGAGACCCTGTTTGATTTGTTTTGATAAAAAAATCTGTACAGTGTATAGTAGGACTAATCATAATGAGCCAACCACACGATGACACGTCAAAATCACTTTAAAAATCCACATATATTGTGGTTGGGTCACTTGTGGACTTTTCTTGACCAAATCAGGTCCAATGAAGAACCTCAAAAATAGGGGCAGCAGTGAAAAGAAAATGAATCAAACTTAAGGATTACAAAATGGATATATTATAGTTATTTCCCCTCTAATTAAAATTTATTACACTTGCCTCCTCTAATTTTTAAATAATTACAGTTATCTCTCTTCTAATTACATACTTGTAACAAAACCATCATTTTCACCAAATTTATTTTATTTTATTTTTTTTAAAATACTTTTGTCCTATACTCATGTGAAAAGACAATTCTATCCTCAATTTGAAAGACATTTGACACATGAAATTAAGAAAATTGCCACAAGAGTGTTAACCGTCTCTGACCGTTAGTGAAACTGGCAATTTGGGCTTATGCTTGTAAGGTAAAATTCTCCGTTAGTGAAACTGACAGTTTGGACTTATGCTTGTATGGTAAAATTCGAATATGTGGAATCATCCACAAATTACACATTTTTTTTTGCGTTTACAAGACGTCCGCATTTACGGTTCACCACTACGTCCCACTGGGTCACCCGTGCGGTTAGATAAATAAAAAGTAGAAAAGTTGAGGAAGCTTCAAATTGTTGCCCCACCCAACTCATTTATAATTTATACATTATTGTAATGGGTGGTGTTTCAGGATCTGCCCCAAAAAACCTAAGTTGTTAGGTGGGGTAATATCCAATTCATTTATACCTATTTCATTTCTTATTCGAATTCGATGTGAGACAAGTACTTACTTATAACATTCTCCTTTACTCGAACTAGCTATACCCTTGTTGCGGCCGGGACACTCTCACTACCTGGGGAGGCACATCCAGACTCTTGACACTGGAACAAGAATTGAGTATGGCTTTGATATCAACGGTAATAAATGAATGTTTCGTGATTTGGTTCAAAAATTTAAATTATTAAATAAAATTAACATCTAATTTATTTATACCCACTGTACTTTCCATCCAAATCCGACGAGACATGTCTCATTTCTAACAATCATAGAATGGAAAAGGCATATAACTCATTGGCAGAACGGTAAAAAAAATCAAAACCACTGTCATTTTCAAAAGTTTTCCCCAAACCCAGAATAAAACCCCCCACTCACATGTCTATTCACTCACACACCCCCCCCTCTCTCTCTCTAGCCCCTCTCTCTCTCTCTCCTCTGCCCCCATTTTCACCATTTCCGCTGCTCTGTAAACAAATCAAAAGCAGAGGAAAAAGATAAGAAAAATCAAATAGAAAATGAGGGAATAGAATCTCAACAGCTCCTTCTCTCTCCTCTCCCACAGAAAGAGAGTCCACAATGGACTTTCAATGAGTGACTTAGATCTCTCTCACATATGATATGATACACAGACCATATGTTGTGTATATACATATATAGCTTTGTATATGTATATGCACTTTGAGTCCTAATGGCATCGTCATCATCAACACTCACAGCAGAGCAACCTAACACAGAGGTGTTTTCATGGCTGAAAAACCTACCTTTGGCTCCAGAGTACCACCCAACCCTAGCAGAGTTCCAAGATCCGATTGCCTACATTTTCAAGATCGAGAAAGAGGCCTCCAAGTATGGTATCTGCAAAATCGTCCCTCCAGTGCCTGCTCCACCGAAGAAAACCGCAATTGCGAACCTTACGCGGTCGCTAGCCGCCCGGTCCGCGAGCTCCGGTGACCCCAAAGCCTCTCCCTCATTCACCACCAGGCAGCAGCAGATCGGGTTCTGCCCTCGGAAGCACCGCCCGGTCCAGAAATCGGTGTGGCAGAGCGGTGAGCGATATACTCTGCCGCAATTCGAAGTGAAAGCCAAGTATTTCGAGAGGACCATATTCAAGAAGAGCTCGAAGAAGGCACCGTCGGCGTTGGAAATCGAAACCCTTTATTGGAAGGCTTGTGGGGACAAACCCTTTTCGGTGGAGTATGCGAATGACATGCCAGGGTCTGCATTTGTGCCGTTGAGTGGGAGGAAGAGTAGGGAAACAGGGGATGGAGTCACTGTTGGTGAGACTGCGTGGAACATGAGAGGGGTGTCTAGGGCAAAAGGGTCTCTGTTGAGGTTCATGAAAGAGGAAATTCCGGGCGTAACGTCGCCAATGGTGTACATTGCAATGCTGTTTAGCTGGTTTGCTTGGCATGTGGAGGATCATGACTTGCATAGCTTGAATTATTTGCATACGGGGGCAGGGAAGACTTGGTACGGCGTACCGAGGGAAGCTGCCGTTGCGTTCGAGGAGGTGATCAGGGTTCAAGGCTATGGAGGAGAGATCAATCCTCTTGGTGAGTTCACACTACATTGAACTACAATAGTAAAAATTAAAGTTTGGCCTGCCCTGTTTTTTTTTTCCTAATGTCCTCTGCTTACATTACATTGGGAATGCTGCAGGTCTCTGTTTCTGGGGCACTATGTATGATTTTGTAGTTAATTCCTTTATGAAGGTGTGTTGTAATTTATAAAATCGCAGTTTGCAGGTGTTATTCCATTGTAGATCATTCTTTGAATTTTTTATAAAAATAGTAGAGTTCTTCATTTTAGGATGCGAACATATGATGGATTCTTAGAATGGGTGAACTAACACTGTTAATCTAGGAACGGCAAAATATTGTTAAGTCTTCCGTGGCTTTAGCATAGTTATGTGAGGTTTTGGATACAAAATTTGCATTGGAAGCTATAAATTGAAATGCATTTGATGCACAAAGTTGGGGATTGATAAAAAAAAAACCTGATTAGATTTCTGTGGGAGAGTTCTGCGATATCATTATATATGGGCTTAAAGGAGGATTACCTTGGAGCTTTAATATATTCCTTTCATCTAAGGATGTCTTTTTATTTTATGGACAATTTAGAAATGACTAAGGAAGTGAATACAGGCACTTTAGTTCTTTCATAGTCTTCCACCAGAATAGTAGTAAAACTCAAGTGTTTTTGAAGGGTATTAGCTTTGTAGTGGTTCTTGGAGTTCTCTTTAGGTGTTGATGTTGGAAGGTATGCTTGCTACTCATGAAGGGTTTGTTGCTCATTCTTCTTCTCCTCCTTCTTCCTCTTCTTCAGTTTGCCAGATGTTTGAACTTTGAAAACATTAAGTGACACGACCTTAACAGGAATGGGCAATTATTTGGTAAAACTAGGATGATTCAATTGCTTTTATATTGATTTTTGAAGTTTAAAATGCAGTTCTGATGCTTAAAGCTGCATGTTAGGTCTGTCTCACGGTCTCACCAAATCTAGATTCAGTCTGGTAATGTGATGTGGGTGATTCCTAGTTTCAAAAACTGATATATTCCCTATTTGGCTTGATACTGGATATAGCCACATTGGATGTGCCATTTTTTAGAACATAGTTGCGACCATGCTGTTTTGAGATATTATTTGGCGTCTTAGCTGACATTCAAGACTTCCATTATTTTTTCTGTGATTCTTTTGTTCAGATTATTCATGACATCAATTATAACTCTCTTTCTCTCTGTTTGTCTGTGTGTGTTTGTGGGTACACATATTTTGTGTTTGTTCATGTGCTTGTATGTGCATGCACATGCAGTTTGGTTCTTTTTCTTTATTTATTTTAGAGTGGGGATTCATTGCTAATTGGAGAACTCTTTTGTAGGATCTGTTTCACTGAAATTTATCTTTCTTGGTGATTCATTTCATCTGAATCCATGTATTTTCATATTTAAAAGTATTAACCAATCATTGAGTTCTGATGGCTATGAATCACCAAATTAATTTCTTTTGTGCTGTTTGTTCTGGCATGTCCTTTTGGATGAGGCTACTCACTTACTTTGGTTATTTCAAAGGTGTTCTGGAAGATTATTTGTTTTGGATTAATCAGAAATTCAACTTGGTTTCAGAAGTTTAGGATATAATATAAATATTATGTTCTCTTTCTGTGATCATACTAAACTTTGTTTTATTCATTTTCTTTCAGTGACTTTTGCTGTTCTTGGTGAAAAGACCACAGTCATGTCACCAGAGGTACTTGTTAGTGCTGGGGTTCCATGTTGCAGGTGACATTTTAATCTGTGTCCTGTTTATTTATTTATCTTTATTAGTTCTCTGCAGACTAATGTTGGTTACGTCTGAAACAAGAATGACTTATAATGGCATCTATAATTGACATAGAGGCACCTTTTGAAAGCTATTTTTTCAAAGTAGGTAGTACCTATTTTATATAAAAAGCGATAAAGGGAACATGATGAAAGAGAATAAACATGTTCCGTTACATGCCAGAGAACTACATTTTTGCTTGAACTTTCTTCCATTCATAGGAATTAACATTTAATTCAATTCAAGAAATTATTGTAGTTACCATTACAATTTGTTTGCTGTTTAGGTTGCCTTAGCATGCATTTAATGTCTTGAGTGTTCACTTGCATACATCTGCCTTTTCTTACATTTTCATGTTCCTCAAACAAGATTGGTGCAAAATGCTGGAGAATTTGTTGTCACTTTCCCGAGAGCCTATCATTCAGGATTTAGTCATGGTAAGATGTCTTTCAATGTCAAATGTTATTTTTCGTAAGCCTGGATTTTGGTTATGACTAATCTTGAATAGTAGGTTTATAGAAAATGATGATGTTCATACCATCCATTTGATTTTGTGGTGTAGGATTTAATTGTGGGGAGGCAGCTAATATTGCGACTCCTGAGTGGTTGAGGGTTGCAAAAGATGCTGCAATTCGTAGAGCTTCAATTAATTGCCCACCTATGGTTTCTCATTTCCAGTTGCTTTATGATCTTGCATTATCTTTATGCTCGAGGTTTGTTCTCCTTTTATTGGTTAATTTCCTTTTAGCTGTCATAACGGCAGTGTGATCCTGTACAAAGTCATTACTTATAGGTTTTCACTTTATTGTGCCTTCTCAAAATAGACTAGATTGAATTCAAACTGGGTGGTAATGGAGTTTTCATTAAAGCTGTTATCCTTAATCATTGTATGTTGCGAAAAGTTTGATCCAGCTTGTGGAATTGGTATTATCCCCTGAAAGTGAAGAAATTTAGTTGTCTGAAGAAGCATGATATGCAAACTATTAGATTTGCAACTTCTGTTAAATATCAAGTCAATGGTCATATTCTGTAGGACCTACCAAATTTCTTTCTCTGATTTATTCTCCCTTCCTATTGCAGGGTACCTACGAGCATCAGTAATGAACCTCGGAGTTCTAGATTGAAAGATAAGAAGAAGGGTGAAGGAGAAGCCCTGATTAAAGAGCAATTTGTACAGGATGTAATACAGAACAACGATCTGCTTCATAAACTTGGGAGAGGATCTTCAATTGTAGTTCTTCCCCCAAACTCTTCAGATGAGTCTGTTTGTTCAGATTTACGTGTTGGGTCTGAATTGAAAGTAAAATCCAGGTTTCCCCTTGGTTTATGCAGTCTGAAGGAAGAAATAAAAGCCCCCAAAAGTTCAATTTTCGATGATAACAAGTTAAACAGGAAACATGGGTTTGGGGAATTGGGTTTCTACTCGATGAAGGGAAATTTTTCTTCGTTGTGTCAAGGGAACAGAGATCCTTTATTAAGTGGGAATGATGATGTACGCACTTCAACTTTTCAGGTCCGTGACCCAGATACTGAAAGAAAGAGAATTGCTGAAACTAATAAATTATCGGGTCAGCGGTTGTTTTCATGCGTCACTTGTGGGATTTTAAACTTTTCTTGTGTTGCCATAATTCAACCCAGAGAAGCAGCTGCTCATTACCTCATGTCAGCTGATTATAGCATCTTTAATGATCAGGATGTTGATTCTGAACTACCTAGTGATGATTTTACTGCTGCTAGTGCAAATGCAAATGCTTCTCCGCTGAATTCTCGTTCTGGTGGGTTCCCCCCCTGCCTTATATATATTTTCTTCTGTTCTGATTTATATTGGGGTGTAAATTTTTTCTTTCCTTTTATCTTCTAAAAAAGATTCTGTGATTAATTCCACTGCATGTATAGGGTGAGATGTGGCTTTCATGTGTTCAACATGCTCATTAGGCAAGATTTCTGTGGGGTTTTCCCATTTTTCTTTTTATGTCTTTTGGGTTGCATTTAATAGCAACCCTGGACGGCCAGTGTGGAATTCTCGACCTAAAATTGACCTGACTAGCTAAAGAAAAAATTAAATGCTGGCGGAGAGTGAATCATACATCTTGTCTCTATGATAGTCTGTCCTGATTCGACACCATGGACATATAAAATTTGTAGCCTATCAGTTTGAAGATTTAGTGTGTGGAGCATTTGATACTTCACACGCATGCTTTCTGATGTATGATATGAACTGGCTTTTCAATTATCTAAATGCAGGATGGATGGAAAAGAGCAATGCAGATGGTTTATTTGACGTCCCAATACAATCTGCTGGCCAAATTCAAACTGTTGACCGTAGTATGGAGATGGTTTCAAATTCTGATACAGAGAGAGACTCTTCTGCCCTTGGCCTATTGGCTTTGACTTATGGTAATTCTTCAGACTCTGAGGAAGATGAGATCGAAGCAGATATTCCTGTCTATGCAAATGAAATTCAATCGGGAGATCATTCACCGGAAAGAAGACTTCATTGTGATAATACTGGATTGCCTTCTGTAAAGCTTCAGAGAGGAACAACTGGCTGTCGCAGTCTCCCCTCTTCAAGATTTGGTTGTGCCGATGAAGTTCCGGTCCAGAGTATTGATTCTCATGTGGAGTATGGATCCACAAGCTCTAGTTTTGGAGATAGAAGTTATCGAACTTTTGACTGCTCTGTTGAGTTTGAAACTGATGATAGTGCTTCTATCGATACAAATAGCTTACGGGGTAGGTTTCAACATCAAATGAAATTATCACCTGCTGCCCCAAATTGTTTCCCAGTTGCCCATAGGGCTGGAACGACTATTGGTACTGCCAATACATCAATCAAGAACACAACTGTGTCATTTGCTCCTAGGTCAGATCAAGATTCTTCTAGAATGCACGTCTTTTGTCTTCAGCATGCTGTAGTAGTAGAACAGCAACTTCGCCCAATTGGTGGAGCACATTTGTTACTCCTTTGTCATCCAGGTGCGCTGTAATGTAGTTTTGTGTAAACATCACTTTGTATGAAAAATGAGCCCTTTCCTCCTTATTTATTTATTTTATTTTTTATTTCTCCATAATTCTTATTTTATTATTTATTATCCTTTACTGAAAACTGGTCCTATGCTTAACTTTATGTGGTGGAGAGAAAGCGAAGTAAGGTTCCTCTCAGAATATTTAAATTTTTTTGATATTTACTGCGGTGAATCTTCAATTCAAATCATGTATGGTCTTGTCAGGCTCTTGTTAAATAGTGTGGTCTGAAATATGCAACAGCGTGCCTGTGCTTGTATTATTTAATCCTATTTTTTGATTGAAGAGATGGTTGTTCTCCACTATTATGGTATTATAGTTATTCTAATCCAGTTGAAAAAATTATTCCCTTCATATGTAGTGTGATTCATTTCACTTATCATTTTTTGTGGACTTGGATATTTTGGTATTATTGTGTGGAAAATAACACTTTTTTTTTTTTTAATTCAACCTAGGAAACTATTTTCTGCTATTAACAATAATCCTGTCATTCAATTATTAATGTTTGGGCCAGTGGGTTACTAATACTATTGTTGTAAAGGTGGCATTGTGACTGAATATGCATCTTTTAGTTGCTGGAGAAAAAGTTTTTTTTTTTTTTTTTTTTTTTTTTTCCCGGTAAATAAGAGCAGGAGAAAAAGTTTTGCCAGATGAAAATAGAAAAAAACAGTGAAGTGTACTCTATATTTTATGATAATTCATCGACTCCTGCCTTTTCTTCTTCAAGTTGTTTCTTCAATGAGATATATCTCGTAGTTCCTACTGATAATTCTCCATTGGTTTGACCGAGACCTTGGAACATTAGATAGAGCGGAATGGAAAAATAGGATTCATGTAGCTCAACCCAAGTAGTTGGGAAAAGGCATTGTTTATTTGCTGTTTTTGTACTGATAGTTCTTCATTTTGGGCGCCTTCCTTTAAATAATTCATGATTCCTTGTGAACCAATTGCAGATTATCCTGAGCTAGAGGCTGAAGCAAGGTTAGTTGCAGAAGAACTGGGAATAGAGTCTCTCTGGAATGATACTGAATATAGAGACACAACCGAGGAAGATGAAGAAAGGATACAATCAGCTCTAGATGGTGAGGAAGCCATACATGGGAATGGTGACTGGGCTGTAAAGCTAGGCATCAATCTCTACTACAGTGCAAACCTTAGCCGCTCTTCTCTTTACAGTAAGCAGATGCATTACAACACCATTATATACAGTGCATTTGGACGCAGTTCTCCAGCTAACACCCGAACCAAACTTGAGGTTTATGGGATGAGTTCAGGCAAACATAAGAAAGTAGTAGTGGCTGGGAAATGGTGTGGGAAAGTCTGGATGTCAAATCAGGTTCATCCTTTGTTAGCAGAAAGGTATCCTGAAGAAGAAGAACAAGAGAGAGGCTCTCATTCTAGGGCAAAGGCTAATGTTAAGCTTGAGAGACATTCAGAAAGTACTTACAATACTGAAACAGTTGTTACAACTAGCAAGACTGGGAGGAAGAGGAAGAATGCAGTAGAAAGTGGGTCGATCACGAAAGCTAAATGCCTGAAAACAGAGGATCCAATTAGAGCTTCAGATGATCCACCAGAGGAGAATCCTCCTCTTCTGCAATATAAAAGAAATCTTAGAAACAAGCAGATGAAACAAGAGACCCCTCAGCCTCGAAAAAATTGTGACCGCATTACAAGACAGTTTGACATGCAAATTGATGATGAGCTGGAAGGTGGACCTAGCACACGCCTGAGGAAAAGAACCTCAAAGCCCTCCAAAATTATTGCAGCAGTCAAACCGGAAGGCAAAGCGATAAAAAAGACACAGACAAGTAGTAAGAAACAAAAGAAATCTCCAGCTGTGAAGGCTCCGGCATTCCCTAACAACAAAAAGGCAAAAGATGATGAAGGAGAATACCAATGCGAAATGGAGGGTTGCACCATGTCTTTTGGCTCGAAACAAGAGCTTCTGCTGCATAAACGAAACATCTGCCCAGTCAAGGGGTGCGGAAAGAAGTTCTTTTCTCACAAGTATCTGGTGCAACACCGGCGTGTTCATATGGATGACCGCCCCCTAAAGTGCCCTTGGAAAGGCTGCAAGATGACATTCAAGTGGGCGTGGGCTCGAACTGAACACATTAGAGTTCACACAGGTGCTCGTCCTTATGCTTGCAATGAGGCAGGCTGTGGTCGGACATTTCGGTTTGTATCAGATTTCAGTCGTCACAAAAGGAAGACTGGTCACTCGGCAAAGAAGGGCAGGGGATGAATTGAAAGAAAAGGGATGTAATTTAACATGGCTGATGCAACTGTTAAAATGATGACAGGTAGGGGTAAGTTTAGGATTAAGGTTTCCCGTAATTTTTCTTCAGAGTAGAGTTAATTCTGTTTTCCCCTGAATCTTCATTGGAACCATTAATTCAACCCAAGCAATTGCTTGGATCTTGGAACTGAACCATCTCCAATGGGATGTTCTCATGCAAAATTCGTTATTAAATTGGAAATGAAGATGACTGCTGCTTGTCTGCATAATGCATTTGGTGCAATGCTGAAAATGAACTCTCAACTGTTGGATTTATATGGTGCATCACTTTCATATGCAGGTCAACTTTCTTATTGATATGTTTTCAGAATTACAAGGGGTGTTTGATTGCCCTTTTTCTTTTCTCCCCATTTTTTGCAACAAAAGTGAAATGCCTGTTCTTAATATGTTATCGGACGATTTTTTTTCTTCCCTTCAAGTGTTCTTGAAGACAAGAAAATTGAGAAGGGCATTCCATTAAGTCATTGATTACTCCCGAGCTTTGAAAGAAAAGGGGTTTCATGGCTTTTTAAACTCAGTGGAATAAAGTTACTGTCCATGCATATTTGTGCTGCATGTGTTCTATGGATAGTTTGCTACCAGGTGATTGCTTGTGGTTTCTCTCTCTACTTCTTTATTGGTTCCATTGCATTTGACTTCATAGATGATCATTTGACAATGCCTTATCTGATATGTTTTTTTTCAGCACTTAATCTTGTTCTAATATATTTGCTCGAGTCTTAACAATTTGTATGGATTATGATTCAGATATGTTGTCACAATTGTCTTTAATTACACACGGCATCAAACTTGTACATTTTGTTGCACCGTGTGGTTTGCTCTGACACAAACCTCCTTCCGTCCAAAATTTGGCCAACGTCAGAAACATTTATTGCAGTGACCAAAATAGTCATCAACTAAGAGGAAAATATGCTACTATCCTTGAAGACAACAAATTCTCTGTTTGCTTTGCAATAAGACAACAAATTCTCAGTTTTTTTTTTATTTTTTAACTATCAGTGTCCTCTTTTACATCAGGAAGTAATGGTGAGTATTTACAATAAAAGATCTCTTTGATTTTTTTGAGTATCATTTGTATTATAATACTCTGTCCTAAGTTGTATAAAATTGGAGTGGAAGTTCGAAAACAACAAAATTTAAGTCATATTGAGTGAAGTGGGAGCAAGGGCACATAGTGACATAAGGAATATAAGAGCAACAGTTTTGTGAGAAGAATTTTGTGATTTAGACTGGCACCAGAAAAAAAACAAAAAACAAAATAGAGACCACGTAACTATAATACAGTAATCATGCTTTGATTCTTCACCACCCATTGATTCAGGGGAGGAGATGCATAGAACCCTGTGACCAAAATACCAAGGTGGTCAGTGACAACCAGGCGAACCCTATGACCAAAATACCAAGGTGGCCGGTGACAACCAGGTGAACCCTGTGAGTCATGATTGCCACATTGAAGTATTTAGCTCAGGGGAGGAGATGCAGAGAACTAGAGGGTGTGAGGAGAGAGATTAGGGTTTGATGGGATTTGGGAAGAATGCGGAGAGGATTGGGTGAGTTAGATTTTTTATTATCAAAAAGTATTTTTTTTTTAAAAATGAGGGGCAATAGGGTACTTTGACATAGTTAGATATTTTATCATTTTTACAAATAAAATAATTAGAATAAAAGGGTAAAATTACTAAAGAATTCACATCCATACTCGTCAACAAATACAGAAGTTTGATATCTTAAGTTTTGTGCGATGTGTATATGTAAGATTAGACTAACAACTCTTGGATGATTGTGTGACTTAGCACAAAAATATGTATTAAACACAATCAATCAACAAAAACCTAATCATATTAAAATTTGGCAAAAAAGCATAAAATCCCCCGTAATTATAAAAAATTAGCATTTTATCCCTTGAACTACAAAATCGAGCAAGTCAGTACCACAACTATCAGAAACGTGCATGTTGCCCCCCTGCTAGTCACTTCTGGCACATTTCCGGCCGACGTCATTATACACTTACAAAAATGCCCATTATAAATAACATTTAAAAAAAGGCAAATAAAACTAAAATTTTGAAATAACCTCAATACCCCTCATGCTATATACCTCTTATATTTCTAAAATTGCTAAGATTTCTAAGTACTGTTCTATATACAAACATAATTGTGTATACAATTATGTTTGTATTTATATATTTGGTGTCTTAAGTTGAAAAGTATCTTTTTAAGCCGAATGAAATGAAATCCTAATTTTTATTTATTTATTTATTATTTTGCTTAGTTAAAGGTATGACAATTGATTATCAAATCAATGTGTATTGCTCATAGCAACATTTTGCTTTGACTAACAAGGGGCTTCATCATAATTTTTTTTTTCTTTTTAAAAATATATATTTAAAGTGAATTTTTTTCTTTAAAAATTTATTGTAAATAAATTAGAGACTTAAAAACGTTAATTTAGTTATAATAAAATACTAGTAACTATTTATCATTAGATTTTTTCTTTTCACTTTTTATTTATTTATTTTTTGCGATCCTTTAAATTCCTAATTATATAAGGTAAAATAAACTAGCATATATAATATTAAACACCTAATTGCAGCTAAATCTTTTACTTCAGATTTGTTTATTAAAACAAATGGAAAAAGCTTCTTACAGGGAAAAAAGGTTATAACAGTCATATTGAAGGACAACATTGGAAGTATAAAAAAAGGACAAGTCACGTGCTGGAGTAGTTGGGTGGAAAGTAGTCGGAAGTGACTGACAGGGGACAAGTTGCACACTTTTTGATAGTTGTAGTACTAACTTGCTTGATTTTGTAATTCAGGAGTAAAATACTGATTTTTGATAATTGAGAGGAGTTTTATTCCTTTTTGCCTAGAAATTTTAGCATGTAATGAAGTGACCGTTACTTGTGAACTTTTAGGCCAATAGCATAAAACCTCTTCCCTCAAAGGGGAGGTAAGGAGTTTAAGTCTCATAATAGATAATTTGTGAAAAAAAAAAAACAAGAAAAAAAAAATGAAAAGAAAAGTGATGGTCAATGAAACCATACCTGTAACATGTACTATTGATACATTTGCCGTTGAAATTCGAGTCCTGTATTGGATGAGCTGAGCATACCATGTCATTTGTATCCCAACCCAATTAGTCATTCGTATCATAGCCTAATCAGATTATACACTATTCCAGTAAGTTGAAGGAAGTTTTTATATTTCAGTGTGACCAATTTTATTAAATAGTACATTTTAATTGGGTTGGCATACCAATAACGACTCACCCAATATTTACTTCTCCGACATACAAACCAAAACTAGTAACATAAGCATTAATAGGTTTCTGCACTACAAATCTATAAACAAAACAAACAAGGCACGTATACCTTGTTCATTATTTATACCTATTAGAAACACCCCTCTTTCTCAGTATGCAAAAGTTCAATGTAACAATTTCTCAGGGAGTTTATATGCACCAAAACTAAAGAAGCAAAAGAAGAAATCTACAATATAATAATTTGTATATATTGGTATTGATATATAAATACAAAAGATGTTACTAATCAGAACCGACAATTAAAGAAGACTGGTACAGAGAGATTCAATCTTAACATCCAACAAGGAAGGAAAAAAAAAAAAAAAGTTTTCATGTCCATTTAATAACCTTTAATTCAAGGGTATGGATATATATGAAAAACAAAGGCGAACCAAAGAGAAAAGAAGCCACATGAAAAAGGGAAAAGGGAAAAGGGAAAAATAGAAAAGAAGGACAAAGAAAATTATAATTCTAAGTTGACAAACACTCAGTTGCTCCATCAGTTTGGCAGCCACAAAAACCTCTTAAGAGGAGAATTGAGATCTACCATCCACCACCGCAAGCAAATTACACCATTTTAAGCCTCTGAAATCACTGTGGATTCAACCGCAGCAAAACCAGCTCTTCTGCATTCAATAATTTATACAAAAATATTAATCCCTGAAAGATTTCTAAACTGCAAGTAGACAACTGAATTGACCAACAGCCACTAGAATCTTATGACTTCACACCCACATACAACTATACCTTCGGGGGATGCTTAGGTTTCTCCTTTTCTTCATAAACTTTCTCATCCTTTTCTGGTGGCGGGATCGCACTCTTAGTAATCCCACTGTTCCTCTTCTCATCTCTGGCCTTGCTAAATATGACAGTATATCCTTCGGCCGAGGCAGGGTTGTTTACATCCCACTCACCAAATTTTGGCAATGACCGACCTTTATCATGCTGCAGATAAAAACATCAGCTATAAGAAGTCATTCTTGCAAGGACATTCCAACATGAATGATAAAATTAGGACAGGTTTTTGCAGGAGAGCGTTGTTTAATGTAATAATAAGAAGTTGGGCTGATACAAATTCGAGTACGAGAGTTGTCACATTATGCAAAATAATGCCAAAGGTTAGGTATCTCCTATATTTCCCTCAAAGCACCCCACATAAGTAGGACCTAACCTTTTCTTAGATGCTTTTGCAGATATTAAATTTCTTAAAGAGACCAGTTCATTAATTGGAAGCTACACTTGACAGATAATAGATTATTGCCACTTTAAGCAGCCGGGAAAAAGAAAGAGAGAGAATTAATAGAGGTAATAAAAAACCTGAAGTTGAACATAGAATCAAGCAGCTATAAGTTTCAATTGGTGATTTGTTCAAATTAACAGATATCGATAACAAATTGACGTTGCTTTTCTCAAAAATCCAAATTATTTAATTAAAGCATATACCAAAGAACAATTTGTGAGGCGAGTTCGAGCCTCAGAGCAGCCACTTTGTGAAATACCAATCATTAGGTCTGTCTTGAGTCCTCCCTCCTCTGGACCTTTGCTATAGTGGGACCAAAACTCGGTAATATCCCTTATATATAGAAGTTACATGCTGCTTTAAGAGGGAGGTGATGCACTGTGTCCTTATATATATATAAGAACACAGTGCATCACCTCCCTCTTAAAGCAGCATGTAACTTCTAACAAGGAGCCATGCCTGTGTGTAAGTGTAGCCATGTTACACACATTTCAAGCACATGAACACTTAAAAATGTATAAGAGGACTCAATGAATATGTCCATAATTAAAACTAATTTCAAAATTTAGAACTTTTACTAACACCTTTTACACACTCCCCAACATACGGCCAATGTAATGGAAGACTTCTTGATAAGAGCCTTTTCCACTCCTGGAGGTAGGATGAAAACACCATTAATTGTCTAACTTTTTTATCTTTACAAAAGAAAAGAGAAAAGAATTTGATATATAAGGCACACGTCTCCTACAAGTCAGACATGCAAGGAACACATTTTAATTTAGAAAAGAATATAATTGTAAGATAAAAATATATATAATGAATATAAGTATACATTATATAATTAGGGGTAAGATGAAAAAAAATAAAACCCTCAATTATTCTCCATTTGTAAATAACCTCTGAAATTTTAGAAACTTCCAGAAACTATAATTTTTTTTTGCAAATAACCCATTTTCCATCATTCAGCTTGAAAAAATTACACTACCACCTTAAAAATGAGAATGAAAAAATTAAGTTAAAAAAAGTTTTTGTAAAAAAAAAAAAAAAAAAATTCCAAAATCTAGTTGAGACCTAGGATCTACTATTATAATTATCCACCAACTTTTTCCTGTTTGAATGCCAAAAATGAATCCATCCATATGTTTTCATGTGGGAGTAATTCAGTTCTAAAAAGGGCATATGATATCTGTCAACTTGCATCTTTCCATAGTATATAATTGTAAATATAGGATCATAGTAATTGGACAAACTTATATGTTTGTACCATATAATAAGTATGTATAAAATTAATATTTATCGATTGTCACATCCTTATCCTATTTTTATATATATTGTTATATATATATATATATATATATATATATATATATATATATTTTTTTTTGGAAATTCAAGCAAGTATATATAAATAGGGGAAACTGTACAGGTCCACAAGTAGGAGTTCTCCTAGCTTTTCTCTCTTCTTATAGATTACAGAAATCCAAATTTATTTAATAGAAATATATGATATCCACTTATCTCCTTTCACATAGCATCACCTTTCATACTGGAAGTTATCTGCCTGAAGTGGTTATTAAGTTGGAAATGTTTAAAATATTAATTATTGTAATGTAACCCCTTCTCCCTTCAATTAAAATGGGTCTGGATATATCCACAGCTCAGTTTGTACCATCTTTAAATGCCCTACGACGATACACCCCTGTTGTTAAGCAGACACACAAAACATTCACTCTCTTACTTACGACAAATGGAATGGGCTCAGCTCAATAACCGATAGAAGCTAAAAAGAAAGGACACCCACAATATCAGATTTAGAACAATATTGAGCAGGCAGCAGGGGAGGGGACTCTTAAAAAACGAGTAGCCACAAGAAAACAACAAAGAATATCAGGGAATGTAAGGGAATCTTTATTCCTTATTGTTTTGGATAGACGCTTCTGGGCTCAACCCTAGGAAGAGCTGACTTAGGGCTAGCATCAGACACGCAGATACCTTCAGACGGCTTTCAGACACCTACGGAGCTAGAAAGGGGGGAGAGGAAAAAACACCCACACACAGCACTTCTATCTAATGACCGCTAGAGCAGCACTGGCGAAGAGAACGAGGCCACTAACACACCCTACCCTGAAGACCCCTATCGAGGCCCTGAAGATAAGGAGAGTCGACGAGTGGGAGAAACCCTCTAAGAAGCATGGGGCGAAGCAGCAAGCAAAGGACGTTGATGAAGTACTCTCTCTCTCTCTCTCTCTTCTACTTTTTAGTGTAAGTACGATATCTCAATGGGATGTGTCTGATATGTACGGTTGAACATGCATCTAACAAGCATATACGATAACTAATACATATAACATTTACCATGTCCATATTTTATAATAGTGCCTATGTTAAATGTTCTATGACGTATATAAATACACCACTGTATCCTAAATAATGAAAGAAGCATGCTGCAGAAAATAATTTTTTTGTCATGTTTCTATGTCCTTGGGATTGTGGATTGATAAGTTAAATGCCAAGACACACTTCCATCCCACAAACATATGTCAAAAGTTCATATAAAATAGAACTAGAAATAACAAATAAAGAAAATTAGTAAGCATCAATGGAGCAATAATAATGTTAACTATGCCAGGAAAGAACATCATGTGCTAGACTAATTTTTTTTTTCCTAGTTTATACCCCCCCCCCCCCCCCCCCCCCTCTCTCTCGTTTGCACCTAGCAGGAATAGATCATGAGACCTGATGCTTCATGAGGCACCAGGGCCCAAGTCTTTTCCAACTAGGCCAACCCCTTCGGGTTATGTGCTAGACTATTCCCATTTTAAAAAATAAATAAATAAAAAAAAAAAAGGTTTAACAATCATCATAAATAGAAAATAATTTTGGTTGAATAAGAAATCTGATACTACCCAACCTAGTGTCACAATATGCATACAAGGTATAGTTATCAAGATATAGTGATAAGTATCACCATTAGGCTTTCTCTACTCCTTTCCTCTCCACTCCTTTCACATGCACACTATCCACGTTTCTAACCCCCTTCCAAAATCCCCATCTCAGGATGTAGGTCAGTGCATACTAGGCTAACATACATTGAAAGGGAAGATTTTACATGAAATTTAATGAATAGAGTCACTAAGTAGTCCAATGGCTTTGCCAATGCTTCCAATTTTAGCAATTCTTTCGCATCCCTTGGACGTTCACAAAACAAAGGGCTCCAAGCTGAAAATATTCTCAACCAAAACAAAGATGCAAATATTACTTGTAAGAATTTATTTTGTAAAGAATATTCACAAATCAAAGCCCTTGATTTTATAATTGTCTACAAAGAAATGCTAAAGAACATCTAGGGGGCTGCTTGCTTGATGTAATAGAAAATTGTTCAGGTTGTCAAGCATAAGAACTTCAATTCGAGTACAAGAGCATCCACTTTGTGTGATACAAAAAAAGAAAGAAAAAAAAGAATATCCGTCTTTATCTTGTCATATTGGATAGAACAACACTATGTAATGACCTTTTATAGAAATCAATTGCCACAATGATAGTGGTCAACGCAACTTCTAAGAATCAATTAAATTTAATTACTCTGAACGCCCCTAACGTTTATCTTTATTAGCCACAAATTAACACTGAAACCCCTGGTAGAGTTAACAATGGTTAGAAGTGCTAACTTTAACTGTGAATTTACCCGAGTAACTTCAATTTTAACACAGCAATATAAAATGTAATGCTAATGTAAGCAAGCCACATTGGGGTAAATTCACTTTATTCCATCTGTCTCCTCCCTCCATTCTCTCTCTCTCACTGCCACAACCACCATCTCCGCCACCACGACCGCAACAGCCATAGCCGCCACCACTACTACCTTCATCTCTCTTCCTCCACCACCACCATCACCGTTTCTCTTTCGAAGGCAAGAATTGCTTCATCTACTGACGAATTTGATGATTTCAAAGGTGGAGAAACCGACCCAAATCTGATTTCTGCTCCAAGTCCTTGCTGCCAACCATCACTGCCACCATTGCTGCAGCTCAAACAGGCCAAGCCCAGAGCCACAACCACCAAGACCTACCAAATCTACCATTGGGACTCCAATACTTCTAGATTGGTGTGGAGTGTATGCGTGTGTATGTTTAGAAGAGTGTTGAACTGATTCAAGATTTCATATTGATTACTAGGTCAAGTTATGTGGCTAGTGCCTCAGTTCCATCAGTATCCCAAAGCCCAAATAGCAAGAGGAGAAAACTAGACACACCATCTCAAGTGGACTACAAGTAATGAAATGTGAATTTTTTTCCTTCACACTCGAGTCCAATCAGTTTGGTGGAATGGGAGTTTTGGTATGGTTTTGAAAGAGGCCCATGCTTTTAGCATGAAAAGAAGTTACCTGTTAAGGTACCTTGTAGAATTTTGAGTTTGAATGATGGGTTCATCGTGTATATGCGTGTATGTATAGGCATATAGGTGGGCTTGGTGTTTCGATTCTTTGAGATTTTTTATTGAATTTTTGGTTGATTTTGGTTACATCTGACATTAACTGATGGCCAAATATGATTCTAGTGGATTAGCATATGAATCTGGTTCAGATTGATCATGTGATTCATCATGTATACGCAAGCATGTGTACGTGTACAGATCGGTTTCAAGTTTTATTTCTTTGCCGTATATTATTTTATATTTACTTTAAATATGAGTTCAAATGGATTAGAATATTAATTTGGCTCAGATTGATCATGAAGAACAAGAAATGACGACCACGGAGAGAAGAGAGAAATGACTAAGAAAGAGATACAAAAGAAAAGAGATGGACGAGAGAGATAGTAGAGAGAGGAACGATAGATGTATAGACAGAAATAACGAAGGTTTAATTTCATATTTCACTACAAGAAATGATAGTTTTGACATTTCATTTTTTTTACCTATCTGACTTTTAAGAGACTAATGGTCAACTAAACGGCAGGGGTCGTCTGGGTGGAGTCAACCAAACCTCAGGGGAGGTTGAATCAACATTTTCACCTAGTTTAATCTATGGGTAATAAAGATCTCAGGGGAGGTCAAAATAATTTGACCATTAAATAATTATCTCACATAATATTTTTTTATCTTTTCCTTTTCAATTAATAATAATAAGTTGTGACTCAAGGCCCAAATAATATGATAAAACGAAGACCAATACTTGTCCAAATATTCTAATTAAGACAATTATTTCATATTTTTCCTCTTATTTTTGACCGCAACAATTCTTCTAATTTGCTTCAAACTAGTCAGCTAGTTTAACCTTTAACGATTAATTAAGGATACCCATTTCTTCATTTCTACTAGTATGAGCTCCAACTTTGTTTACTCGTCATTTTTCATTGTCTTTTGGTTGGTAATATTTTCAATCACCCCCTCTCTAAAATTCAGTAGGTTTGTCAGAAACCAATCAATCTCTAATTTATACAAATCTTAATAGTCATTCTTCTTCTTTTTTTTTTTTTTTTTTTTTTTTTTTTTTTTTTTTTTTTTTTTCATTTTCCCCATGTAATAGGCCTTGCTAGAGGTCCTTTCATAGTAAAGTGGCTGAGGCATTTTAAAGTATCCTTTTTCTTTTCATATGTATAAATTGAATCCGTTCACATAATGTATGATCATTAATAAATGATGATTCCAAAACTTATTTCATATTAAGTTTTACATATATAGTGTTACACACAATCATAGTTGGTAATATGAAAATTAAATGGTTTTTATGCTAATGTCTTATTTCTATGATAGTAAATATGCTATAAAACTATTAGGAAGGACTTTTGGATATTTATGTGCACCAACTATTTCTCCTAGTTTTTTCTGTATTTTTAACAAGGTTTAGGCTTCTTCATAAGATATTTTCAAGGATTTCTTGAGTTGTACAAATATTGTTAGACGTTATTATTCTCATTTAAGGGGCACTGCTTGGTGCATTAATGGTAAAAACTCAGGATGTCAAGCTCGAAAACAAATTAAAATCCCAAGAATAGTCCTTTGTGTAGATGATTTCAAAATTCACTCTATCCCTCCCAACACCCTTGATTAATGAGGACCACACTAAGTTCTGACTTTATCTTCTTTTAAATTATTTTTTTTATTCGTAGATTATTGAATTGATCATTATACCCCTTCACCAATCCAATATAGGATCTCAATTTCAACATACTTGTGTAAACAAGAAGCTAACTTTCCTTAATGAACAACATAATTAGAGAGGCCAAAGGACTACCAGCAAAATTACATAAGGTGCAATCAATAATATTTGTAAAAAGAGGGAGAAAGGGAGGGCAGTGTAATAGAAGACAAGAGATGGAGAGATCATTGAAACTAACATGGGATGAATTAACAAGCAAAGACCTTCATAAGTTAGATATAAGAGAGGAGACATAGCTTATAACAGAAAAGAATGAAAGAAGAGAATTCATGTTGACCCCATAAGTAGGATAAATGAAGATGATAATGATGATAATTAACATTTCTATGAGTTTTCTCTAAGTACATCTCAGTACATCACATTTGGGGTTCATAATATACCACATCAAATTGCCCCTACAAGAAACTCAATTAGAAAACCATTAAAGTAACATTTGAAATTTTGGTTATAATTTATGGTTGCTTTTTTTTTTTTTTTCCCTCACTGAAACTAATTTTTAAGAGTTTTCACCAACCAATATTCAATAGGCTTAGTGGTTGGGACAACACCCAATATAGTTTGAACCATTAATAATGTCTAAAAAAGGTATATGCCCAAGGAAAAAAGTTTTTATTAAATGTTTGAATCACTTTCAAGCAGAAAAAAACATACGGGTAAAAGAATAAGTGGTATTATTAACAATCATAATTTTGTGGTTCTATAGACATTTCAAATTGCTCTAGCACTTTGCCATGTTTATGGCACTAATAAAGCCTTTATTCAAAGAAATTGTGTCCCAAGAAAATTATAGAAAAAAAAAGTAGATACTTCATTGTCTTTAAAATACTAAACATCACATTCCTAGAAACTTACGAGTGAAACATGATAATATAAAAGTATTTCTTAAAATCAACCAAGCAACATCTCTTCCAAAACTCCACAATAACTACCTTTGGGAAAACAATTAGAACAGATGCTGAAGGCAAAAGAAGGCAATGCCTATATATACAAGTATGCTACTTATAATCAAAAGTTGTTTCTTATAATATGGTAAAAAGGGAAATAATCAAAACACACTTTGTGAACTTAATGAAAGAGGTGGTGGGATCATAAATTGTACCTTTAGTATTAATAGTGGATATAGTGTATGTAAAATAAAGGTGCGTGGTGGTGTGACTAAGGGGATCTACTGTTATTTCCTGTAATTCATTCCAAACATGAGCTACCCATTTTTCTTCCTTTTCATTTTTTTATTTCCATTTTTTTTATTGTCATGGGTCAATTTTCCACACAACAGAATGAAATATAAACGAAGCAGGAATACTAATAAACTCGGCGCACTTGAATATGCAGTGGGGAAGGAAAGAAAAGTATAATATTAGATATAACAATAACCAAACGTTTTTCCAATTATTTAGGGTTGGCTACATGAATCCCATGTTTCCATTCCGCTGTATCTAAAGACATAGCCTCAATTTATCCACATGCTATCATATCTTTCTTTAATAACTCTACCCACGTTAACTTTGGTCTTCCTCTTCCCCTAGTACCATTCTCAATGTGAACTATACCACATTTTATTCTAACCGGCACGCTTAAAGATCTTGTTTGCACATGTCCAAACCATCTAAACCTATTTTCTCTCATTTTATTCCCAATCTCCAACCATATCCCGAATGTGATCATTTCTAGTCTTACCACACTATAATATTAGATAGGAGCAGAAAAAGAAAGGAAGGGTGAGGATTGTCACGACCCGCCCCAACCCGTGTAGATATTATCCGCTTTGCAAACTCTCCTCTTGTTGCCCACGATTTTCCTCAAAACGGTTAAGGGGTGTCCACACATATAAATGTCAGGAGCTTCTCCCTAGGCAATGTGGGATATCACAATCAACCTGTCTTGGGACCTAGCACCCTCACTCGCCTGATCCACATGGGCTTGTGCAACCACACACACCCCCCTCCAATTTCTAGCCGGGGATTCCTCTGATACCATTTGTCACGCCCCACCCCAAGCTATGTAGATATTGTCTACTTTACACATTCTCCTCTCAATGCTCACGATTTTCCTCAAAAAGCGTGTACATGCTTAAGGGGTGGCCACACATATAAAAGTCAAGAACTTCTCCCCTAGGCAATGTGGGATGTCACAAGATGGTGCTAATACGTTACATATTTAAATAACTACGGAAGGAAAAGAAATGTTATATTAATTGAGTGAAGTGCAAAATACAAGGACAAAACAAATAATCCATTATTCCGTTACCTTCCCTTTGAAATCAGCCGAGTTTTATTAGGATAAAAAAGGTTACAATTCAAGGGGTTATTAACTAGTAATCCTTCTCCCTCCTTTTCCTTTTTGTTTCCTTGTTATTTTTTAAACCAAACATGAGATAAAGTCCATCCAACTCCCTTGATTGAAACACAGTCTAAAAAACATGATGCAACCACCAAAATTCAAAAAATAGGATATGATATGGCAAACGAAGCTCGCAAAACTATTATTAAAATTCATGTGAAACTTGACATATGATAAGACAACAAAAATGTCAGATCAATCGGTAGATAAACCTAATCAATTAATGCAACAGGATCCTACCTGATAAGGAAAGGAAAAAAGAAAAAGAAAAAAACTAAACACAAAATTAAGCATACATAAAGAACCCACCCCTAGTTGCTAGTTGCTTCCAAAATTCAACAAGCCTTTGCTGCACCAGACAAAAGTATTTAAAGCCAAGAGCTATCAAAACGACCCCCAAAATTTTCTCCTACCATCTTCCAAAGCCCAACAATCAAAACATTCAAATTAAAAACCCTTCAATGAACAATTCCCAAAAAACCCAAAATCCAAAATTAAGTGAATAAACAGATTTCTACTAACCCTCTATGTAATTATAATACAACCAACACAAATAAGATTATAACAAAAACTTAAAGGTAACAATTGGGTGTTCAGCATTTTGTAAAAAAAGATCATTACCCATGTTCCCCTAAGGAAATCCCACAACAACCTGGACAAAATAGGGTTCTACCGCGAAACCATTGATGTATGAACCTAATCTTTCGTAATATAATCATAAATTTTACAATGTTTTCTGCCCTGAAATCATATATTCGTCTAAAACAAACATATATTCGCCTCTTGACTAATGTGTGTGTACACACACAGAAATATATATATATATATATATAATCAGAGAGAATGGTGATGAAAATGAGGGAAAATAAGAATAAAAAAAGGTGAAGGATTGTACCGTCGACATGATAGAGGATCGCAGGAGTCTCCAACCCCAGGAACAAAAGGAGGACCGACCGGAAGTTTAGAGAGAGAGAATGAGAGAATGAAACGGTTATTAGTTTGTTTGGTAATGAGGTAGACACGTTTTTCTTTTTTGGTATATTGCTATTGTACGCCTCACGCGTTTTTCGCTCCATTTATTTAGTCAAAGCAAAGCTTTATCGGTCGTTGGATCAAGAGACATTTTCTAATAGTTTTTAAATCTAAGGGCTGAGAAGGGATGCAAATAATTTTTAGCAAAAATAAACATTTTTTGTACTTAACCAAGCCATTCCAATTTAGATAGTAAATTCATGTATAGTGCGTGTTTCATACACGTAACGGGTACAGACATCAAAATAAATTTATACGGAGTATTTTTAAGTCGGAACTCTATATAATTTGAAACCTTTAGCAAAAAAGAAAAAGTGATATTTTAAAATATATTATATTAATATCAAATAATAATAATATAATTAATCTTTCTTATTTTTTAAGGTGTAAAGTTACTAATTATATTATTGTATTCAAGTGTTTTTATTTTTTTATTTTTTTTATTTTTTTTTATTTTGAGTATATAATATAAACACTCCAATAGATATATACTCAACTATTAAAAGTAAAATACATATATATTTTATATATTTGAAATTTTATGATGTACTGAAAGTTGTATTGCTGTGAATTCATCCTACAACAGTTGATAGGTTTGTATTTTCCCCTTTAATCTTGAATAAAATTGTTGGTCTTTTGCAAAAATAATAATAATAATAATAATAATAATAATAATAATAATAATACAATTGGTGTAATGATAGAAGAGAAAAAAGACAAGAAAAAAAATCCGTAAAATGAGGGGGAGGAAAAAAAAAAAAAGTCAGCTAAGGATATAACTAAGGAAAAATTATGTTTAAGGAGTCCTAAATTACAAAGTAATTTGATTGAATTAGTCAAAATAATTACACATGAATCGAAAATAATTATTTAAGTTATAAATGCCCTCAACCTCTTATTCCTAAAATACCAAATTGTCCTTCTAATATAAAATAATACCTTCAATCAATATAAGCTTTACAATTGAAGGACGGTTTGCACCAGTGAAAAAAATTCAAGAGATCATTGACTTTTTGTCTCACGGGAAGAAATTGAATTCATTGCAACAAGTTACAAAGCTACATTTTTTTTACATGGTATACTCTCTCAATATATAGACATATATATTGAGATTACATGTTACGCATATAGTTTTGGGTCTTCTTTTATCTGTAGAATAATATGTTCATTTTCTAGAACAAAAGGGTTTGATGGTCTGTTTTGCTGTGAAATTGTGTGCAAATCAATTGCTCAGTTAAATGCCCAATTGAAGAAATTATAATGAGAGAAATTGATTTCATGAGGCAATAGCTCTTTTCATGGCTTTATAGTAAATCCAAATAGAGCTTATGATTATATAGTCAACCAGAACAACAAAGTCAAAGATAATCACTAACAAGAACAGGTATTTGTCCGAATGCCTGTATTTTATTTCATTTTTTTGTCTTGCTAGGAACGTGAAGCAATATATTAAAAATCAATCCCATTTATTTGCCTAGTTTAATGTGGAAAGGAATGTTTAAGGAATTTGAGAGAATAATTTGTTAAAAAAAATTGTAAAACATAATTAACATGCCATTGAAAATGTGAAACAAACTAGCCATGAGCTTGTGATATATTGTCTATCAGATATTCCAACTTAAGTTTTGGAGAACCTTGATTCTAGGTAACTGTTCAAGTCTCTCTCTCTCTCTCTCTCTCTCTCTCTCTCTATATTCTGTTAATTTGTTGTCTAACAGTCGGGTTGAGATTTCTCGAGTACAAAAGAATGAAGTTAAGAACAAGAACTTCACAAGAAAAGGTATAAAGGCAACTAATGAGAAAGAAACAATTCATATCCCTCAAATATTCACAAAAAAGAGGGAAACACTGTCAATGTATTTTACCCGATGCATCGATACATGTACCAGCAACAACGGGGAAAACACAAGCGGATATGATACAAAAAGATTTGCAGTTCAGATATACAATCTCTATAGGGTTGCAACCGTAGCCCCTCTCTCCCCGAACGAAAAGACAATAATCAGACTTCAACATTTGCTTTGTTTCCAGTAAGGAATATACAATCTCTACAAGGTTGAAACCGTAGCCCTTCTTTCCCAAAACAAAAAGACGATGATCAGGACTCAACGTTAGCCTTGTTCCCAGCAAGGATGATGGAGATCTCCAGTCCGCGGCTAAATGCTTGGTTAAACAGTAGGCGAGACTGGAAGGTGGAAACAAAGGGGAACCAAGAAAGCAGTGCAATGGGAGCAAAGATTAACACACCCATTCCAGCATCATACATCCTGGCAAACTCCCGCACTGACTCCCATAAGCCTAGGCTCCGTATTAATTTCTTCCATGAGATTGCTATCTGTATCAGAAAATAAAAATAGGTTTTAGTGGATGTTACTGAAGCAGATTCCGGGAAATAATAATAATAATAATAAAAAGCAGGATTTCATCATTAACAGCACAATCTTACGCTGGATAAACTAGGTCCTTTTTAATTTTTTAGGCATCCAAGTTTGTTCAAAAGTTGCTGAGCAGTTGTAAAAACAGGGGGTAAAAAAACAAGAACAAAGAAAAACAAACATTTCAAGAGACCGCCCATCAACATAGGGGCAAAGGCAGAAGAAGTAAACTCCAAAAATAGCCAAATTGATGCAATCATTCCATCTACGCATCCTGTTCTGTGCTCTTGTGATTAATGAACCAGGTAGAATTATTAACTAACAGTATTTGATTGGTAAGGTAGATGAAATGCTACAATGAAGGTGTACCACATACTGCAAATATTCTTCTACATAAATCTGTCATTACCACTACTCCCAAGCACATGAGAGCGTCTCCTAATGGCTCACTTTTTCTTTTTAAAAGTATTATTCAGTGTCATTCAATCTCTTTTTCACATAAGTATCTGATTACATGCGATTTATGGAATATGTATATGTAAACAAGTGTGCATGCTATTAACTCACACATAAAATGGCCCATCCAGTAGGAATAAATGCAAGGATGCTAGCAAATAAGTCTGCAATTGATAGGCTAGTAAAGGCAATAACGAGGCAAAGGGCTGCAACAAGTCCCAAGGATGCGACTCCTTGAATGAATCGGATCATGAGCTGGAAGCTGGTGGATTTTTTTGGGCTAAAGGTGAATATCTGCAGGACCATACAAGATTGAACACATTAAACATAGTATTGACAGCAAAACTCAAGCAGTCAAAGCTTAGGAAAAAAGAAAATCAATCCGAACCCAAAGCTAATACAAACCTTAAATATCATAACAATTGCAATCAATACAGCCCAGGAGAAGCCATAAATCTGAAAAAAGGCACAATGTCAACATCAAGAAGAAAGAAAGACTATGAATTTGATACACATATGTATTGCAATTATATAATAACCGTACTCAAATATAACCAAAATGTAATATATGTAAGCTATCAAGAAAAAGGAAAAGAATATATCTGTAACCAAACAATTACAGTATGGGCAAAATCCAGTTTCTAATTCACAGAATAGTTTCTTTCAGAATTTCAGAACTATGGGGTTACAAGAGATACAATATTGCCATTGACATTGATTCAACATACCTTAATCTATTCATCTGTCATTCATGGAGTAACTAAAGCAACAGGTTGGTAGCAAAAAATCACTTCTTTTATAATGGAGTTAAGATTACAATGATTCATAAATTTTGAAAGTTCATAAATTTTGCTTTTGTGTCCTCATGTGGCAAGATTGCACTAGTACACAGGGATGATATACAAGCAAAAATGGGCTTCAGCTGGAAAGATGGAACTGACTAATGGCTGGACTGCTATGACATCATAATATGGCTCTAGATCTACTGTCAAATACAGTGGCATCACATTTACAGGGCCTGAGAAAGTTGTACTGGTAAGATCACAAAAACAATGCAAAGGGCAATTCTTTTTTCCAGTATGGAGAAAGTTGGAGCTCTTATTTCTTTTTCTTTTCTTTTCTTTTTTTCAGGGGGGTGGGGGCTGTCCTTGGGTTGGCAGATTTAACAGTAACGTGTCACTCCATTTTTCTTTTTTCACTGTTGGAGCTGTTATCTTCCTTCTTCCCCCTCCCCCTTTACAGGGAGATGGGAGCTGTCCATGGGTTTGGCAGATTTATAATGTTCTTTCTAACAATCAGCGTCCCCCTCCTTTGTCTGCACTATATCACAAGATGGATTGACACACTATCATGCTCTCCTTTCCTCACATCTCTCTCTTCACATTCCCAAAAGTGTGTCAGGTAGGTACCACCGCACGCACTGAAACTGACTACTTCACATTTTCTCTTGCTAACAGATAAGAAATTGCAGGTTTTGTTTTTTGTTGTTGTTGTTCAGGGAATGTACGGTTACACTAGGAAATGTTGGCTTAATAAATCAGTAGCTGAAATGAACAAGAGAAACTGCCAGCTTTAAACATCATGCTTCACAGATTTGCTAGGACAAGTATCAAAAGTCGCATGTAGCTCCAGTACCAAGGCTGGTAATGTCGCTGGGCAATTCAGCATATAGCAGTCTTAATATATACAGGAGATTCCATAAGGATAATCATATCAACAGTACTGGCATGATAAACCCTGATAATTACCACAAGTAATACCGTAGGCCAGAAAACCCCTTTACATACACTAGTTCTAACTAGGAAAAATATAGAGACCTGTCAGAAAAGCAGTATAAGAACAAAAAGTATACCGCAAGTGATGTGTCCTTTCCAGTAAGATGGAGTTTGTACACAATGCCATATTGAAATATGAGAAACCTCAGGCTTAAAATTGTTTCCAGTATCCGACCTCTCAAAGTATGGATATGAATCTGTAAGACAGAGAGAGTAACTCTTTCAACAAATATGGTAACTGAGAAGGCAACAAGCAATAAGTGCAGATTTCCCCATCTTACATGATATAACCTTCTCATAATAACATGTGCTGGCATATAAGCCTAAACTTTTGCGAAGAGCTAAAAATTGCATGCAATAAAGCAATGACTTAAACCCTCCCACCCCCTCCCCCCCCCCCCCCCCAACAAAAAAAAAAAAAGGAAAAGAAAAAAAGAAGGAAGATTAAGGTAAAATCAGATTTAAAAACAGAGGATAGAAAAATCCAGGCCTGGCAAAGTATTTCATGGGGACAAAGTAGTAGTAAAAGGCTGTAGCAATGAGAAAGTAAGATGTTGCAGATTATAAATTTAGAACACTACTAAACATAAGGAAATTGAATACTTCTGTAGGTCTAAAAATTAAGGGAAAAATAGTTATAATGGCATTTAAGCGAATGAGTAAGTAACGCAGAATCAATCATCATTTCAGTAGCATTTAATTTAAGAACATGGTTATGTAGTAATAATAAACCTGCTCTTCATCCCACCAAGATTCCCAGCTATTGTCTCCCTTAACTCCAACTCCACCTTTATACAAAAGCCAATCAGTCCAATCTTCGAAATCCTCCACAGTTCTGTATATTGAAATGCATAATTAAGAGTAATAGAAAAATTAATACAAAAATTAAAAAAAATAAAAAATAAAAAACAATACACAACCGAAATAACTTACTTTTGCCACTCAAAACCGGAGGGGTTAAAGATATAAGGGGCAAAGAGCCACGAGATAACAAGGAACCAACTGCTAAGAGTAAGCAGGATAAATGAAGCAGCACCCCCCTTCGAGTACCCATATGCAATGTAAACAATAAGGAGCAGTGCCACTTCCAGCCTGTGGAAAAATTAATTTAAACCAAATAAGTTATGTAACTTTGATAATACTCTCACCCCTCCCATTGCTCCCAATCAAAATAAAATAAGAAAAAACTTGATCCATTTCCAAGCAAAAACACTCACGCCTTAACAAAATGACTTCTTGAGTAAAGCCTGTAATTCTCAGCAAACTTGATGTGACGGACAACAAAGCCTCTACCTGTTGCTCTGTACTGTTGATGATATTTCACATTGCATATATAACCAATTAATTTCAAAATATTAAACAAGAATTAAGCTTCTTAAACGCATACGTTTGAAAAGAGTAACATACTTTTGCACCGCCGTGAAGGATAGTACGTCCAAAATAATGAGTTCTAGTTCCTAGTGAGAAGGTGAAGAAGACAGAACATAGCTGCAGCTGCATTGTAATGAAACTGAAAACAGCCTGCAAATACATAACATTGAAGATAAAGAATGACAGAAATATGCACTAGTGAAAGAATAAAACCACTCCAGTAACAGTTTCATCAGAAAGTATCTACAGTAAGATAACCAAAAAAGAGTTACATGTTTGACAACGAATAAGAAACAAACAAAAGCCTTAGCATACCCACCAAGTCATAGATAAAATTAAGAAGCAAAATGTCATTAAAATCATCACCCGCAGTAAGAAAAGTTAACCATAAGAATCTAGCAAAAAAGATAAGCTAAAAAAATCAGATTGAAAATCATGACTGGTAAAATTAGATGGACCAACCTTAAGCAACCCCATTTCAAGTATGAAACCCATTATCATTGGGACAGCAGTAAAAACTCCAATCTGGACCAAAAATTGAGCATTTAGAACCGCATCCAGTGAAGTGTTACGCAAAATTTTAGCCTCCCGTGAAATTTGATAATCAAGTCCAGAGAAAGCCTGAAATATTAAGAAACAAGCTGCATAATGGAAGATATCTAAAATGGAACTCTCCTAATTATAGCACTGAAGGGGAAATATATATATATATATATACAGAGCACCAAACAAAAGAAAAAGTTTACTATGTGTAGGCTAAATACACATGAATGTCTCAATTTAATCATTAGAGGTTATCAGAAAACTAAAGCAACTAGACACAAAAGAAGCACATACAACATAAATTTCACCGATCCAGCACCGATCCATACTGCAATATTTAATTAAGTACCCTGATATTATTCAACAACAACAATCAAGCCTTTTTCATAACAACTTGGGTTGGCTACATGAATCCTATGTTTTTATTCCTCTCTATTTAAAGCCATAACTTCAGCCAATCCACGTGCTATCATATTGTTCCTGACTAGCTCTACCCCTTTGGCCTTCCTCTTCCCCTAGTATTACCCTCAATGTGACCTATGCCACTTTTCCTAACTGGCGCACGTAAAGGTCTCCATTCCACACATGTCCAAACCATACCCTGATGTTATTCACATATAACAAAAATTGCAATTGGTTGTTACATATTTTGTTTTCTACTATATTTTGAATTTAGAATTGGACAAAACCCCTTGCACAAGGACAAAACTGAAATCCTTCTCAATTTCTTCTCTCAAACTCCAATTTTAGAACATCGATTAATTATTTTTTCTTACATATACATAAGCTAGTAAGCTGTACAAACACAAGATACAAACATATCTCCACGCGAACATCAATTAAGAAAAGATCAAAGTGAAAATGAAAAAGGGAAACAGGTAAATGAACTTGTCAATTATAAATATGTTTCGAAATTCTAAAACAAACAAATAAGTTTGTAATTCTAGGAGGTGCACGATGTAGTGCAGGATTATATCTAGTTAGAAAACATACATGCATGTGCAGCACACAAGATTTTCCAGAAAACGTGATAAGAGGAATTTTGGTGGCAAGCATATCATAATGCCAACCTTCCAAATTCTTGTGACAAAACAAGTCATAATTTTTCCAATATTGTCTTTGAGTTATGCCAGCAAAATGAAACTTAAAGCTTGGTCACCAAGTAATCAACTAGTTAAACAAAATGGTGCCTCCAATAGCGGCAAGGTCACTTAAAGGCTGTCTATTCATTCTGACAACATCCATCATATAAATAATTCACAACTGTATGAAGAAGCAGCAATCATATATAGTAAAACCCACAAGACAATTTCCTTGTGAAAAAGAAGTGACCGGAGGAAGAAGGCAAAATTGAAGTATGTAAAATTACCAGGTATGCCCTTCCATATAAGAAAACATATACTGTAAGAACTGTCATCTGAAATAGAAACAAACTGTTAATAGAGAAAATTCAGCAAGGCATTTCCTGAAAACATCAAATTCAATTGAATCATACAGGAAGAGCGACGAGTTAAGGAAAATGTCACACCATTGTGCACACATAGTAACCGACAGTTGTGAAGTAGAAAGAGAGCATCCTAAAGAAGTCAAAAAGTTGTCCAATCCTGTAAACATCCCTGCTCAGAACTTGCTCCCCATTTCCACCGGCTACTTTACCTTCAAATAGAGCAATTTGGTTTAACCCAACATCTCTTCCTTTTCCAACCTGTATTAAGAAGAAGGCTGTCAAGTAACTAATAAGATATATGCTTCCAACAAAAACATACATGAATTACTATAACAAACCTGAATGTACTCATGGTGCGTAATGTTACCCTGTCTCAATGTGGAATTGAACCCTGCAGCAATTTTATGTATTTAAGAAAACTTTACAAACAGGATACATGAACGCATTAAATCATATTAAAATAAAGCCAAATTTGCCAAGGAAAAGTCATTTGGGACAAGTCACTTTTCTAACATCTCCAAATTGTCAAGATTTATTTATTTATTTATTTTATCAGTAAGTTCTAACTTGTAGTTTTGAACTGAAAGTGCCACATATTCCAGTCCTCTGTCCAGACCAATTATGAAATATAAACAAAGATTCTTGGACACATGCTTGCACATATTGCATATTACAAGGAAACTAAAGAAATCACATCTATGAAATCCTAGTACTACAATAAGCATAATATATATTCATTTTACGATAGCAACCCGATCACACAGTATGCTAAAAACTTTTAAGCCTTCTTGCCTGGGGAGGACAGGACAATCAATGAGAATGGCCCCCTCAAAAATTTTCAAAAAACCCCTAATCCCCTATGTATTGGCCCCCCTCTTATATAAGTTTGAAAAAACTTGACATATGGCCTCCGAAACCAAAATCCACATAAAGTTTTAATTTTGGGATTTTTAGTCTTTCTGAAGAGAACAAAAATTTAAGAAAGATGAGAGTCCATTACCACACTATAGTACTCCATGTATATTAAAGACAATATATATCAATATACTAAACAAGGAAACAACCTCTTCATTTGCGGAGGTAAGGCTGCATACATGTAACCCTCCCCAGACCCCGCAATTGCGGGGGCCTTGTGCACTGGGTTTGACCAACTTTGTTAAAAAAAAAAAAGAAAAAAAAAAACAGTTCCTAAAGAAAAGATAAAATAAGATTCTTCCCATTTCGATAGTTGCAACATGAAGCCCACCAAGAACATATTAGAGAAGATGTGTAAAACGAAGAGTGAGTTAAGACAAAGGAATGTAGTGAGAGTTTTTTGCTTTAGCATCATATACTAATTCAGAAATTGCAATGAAAAAGACAAAAGGGAGGTTTTTGATCATTTTTAAATTTTTTCTTCTAGGTAATCTAGTATCGGATCAAATCAATACGTTCTAAGAAGAAATATTTGAATATCAATCTCATCGATCTCACACCATCAATCGAATCACTTTTTGGTTCTTGAGAGACCCCCAGTGACCAATCCTTACATGAATTGCTAAGGATCCAATAAGTCCAACATTGATTCTTCAGATGTATCAATTGGGCAAATACGCCCTCATAGCCTAGGCACAATGACACAATTATCAAGGGCACGCTCTACCACTGAGCTAATATCCCATCCTGCAAGCCCCCAATGCAAATTTAAGAACATCATCTCCATTGAATGCATATAATTGGAGAATTTGGCCACGGGTTTAAATATGTTGAGAGTATGGTGTATTGCGGTGATGGTCATGATATTATTCCTTGAACGAGTTTGACTCATGGATTTTGTCGAATTGGAAAGACTAAGATACTAGTGTTATGGAAACTTGGAGATCTTTACAGAATCCACAGCTGTTACTGATTTTACAACTAATAATATTTCAGTAGAGGGCATTGCAGGTCAGGGAAGATCGACAGTTCCCTGATGGTCTTCAACTAAATTGAGTGTTGATCTGGATGATTAATTCACAATTTATATGAGAGGTTTTTGATTGGAAAATGCAAGAGAAATGTTCTCCTTCAGTCCTGTTATCACATATACTATGAAGCAACCTGCAAGGATAGTGGGAATGAAGCTTTTGGATGAGATGAGAAGTGATGGAAGTAAACCTGATCAATGCAACCTGCTTGTTTTTTATCTAATTTTATTTTATTTGTGCATGTGTGGTATAAATCAAGAATCATATGTCTATTTTCTGAATGTGGAAAAAATAACAACAATGCTGGCATTTAAACCATGTCAGTTTCATCAAATCAAGAGCCAAACTACAATTACCATAATCATCAAGAAAATGCAACTTCATAATTTAAGTAACAAGTTAAATCAGTTCCAACAAGCTTCACACAAAGTATTCGCAAAAAGGAAAAAGAAAAATAAAAGCAAAAATGGAAGAGATAAAGGGAGCAAATGAAAATCATCAATCATGATGAATAATTGGCAACGAGCAGTTACAGAAAACCAGGGCAGAACCAACATCAAATATGTTACCTGCATATATATCTTCACTAATATTAATAACCCGTGACGCCTTACTAATGCCGCCTCGAGATATATGAAAGATACGATCAAAGACATCTGGATGTCCATAGTGCATACGGACTCTGCAAGATTTTTATTTAAGAAAATGCAATTAAATATCTTATCCACATTTTTATTTTATTTTTTATCAATAGCCAATTAACCATGTCAAAGAGACAGTAAGATTGAATATGATGCAATCACATGAAAAAAATAAATAAAAAATTCATACTCCCAGTTTGGATGCAAAGTATTACTGGGATAGAGGTAGGGGGACTCAGCTATCTTCATCTATACTAACCTTGCATGTTGTGTTGGGTTTTATGGGTAACGGGAATGTGCATATAAATGTAGGTCACTCGCACAACGAAAATTTTGCACACACAATAAGAAAGACCTACTTTGACAAAAATATTTATCAGTCCAATCAACTTTCCACCAGGACTTCACAGTAGTTAGAGCATCATACCCACCCTTTACAGATTCTGGTAGCATTTTATGCCACATTATGTTACATGGACTCAAGGTGCGGACCAACTGAATTCCTATCCAAAAACTTTATGTTACAGTGATAGTTACAAAATTAATCTGAACTCTACTTGGTCAATCCATTATGTACATACATATATATGTTTATGCTAAGCAAACCAATATTAATACTTTCCCACATTCCAACAATGTACTCTGATTCAGCAAGCAATACGTACTTACGACCTTATCTGAAAAGCAAATATAGATCACGAAATTACTCACTTGAGAGGATTTGCCAAAACACGTTGGCCAAGGGTCACGAAACTAGTTTCTTGATTGGACATAAACCAGGCTAAAGACGAGACACTGCACAGATGCATCCGACACAGCAAGTCAGAAGGGGTCAACTAGGGAAACAAAATGAGAGTTACCGTAGTGAGAAGAAAAAGAAAGACAGACCTTCCTGTGAACACATGCTCTCTTACGCCAAGAATAGTTGGAGGTCGAAGACCATGGTTTCCTCGAAATTCCTCAAGAAGATTTCTCATTTTCATTGCCTCCTCAAGGTAGTTATCCTGCATAACACAACAAAGGGCATAATATTTTTACAATTAGAACCACGTCACCACTTGCTAATATCAAAACTACTATGATATAAAAAATATTCATGGTTCAAAATTCTTCAGTTTTACAATGTGTACACAAGTAGTTTAACCCAACCATCAACTAATAGACGGCAACTAAAAACTGTTACCAAAATCAAGTGACAAGTGTCACCCAAGCATGTCTCTACATAGTCAAGTCTACAAAGTGAAAGTCTAAACAAATGAATATGATCCAGCATAGAGCACCCAACACTGGATAATGGCCTTTTAGTTAAAAGCACATGCCACAAAACATCCAACATAAAGTCTGACAGCATAATATTCCAATAAATGGACCATAAGTTTATACGAGTTAATTTTTTGCATTGTCTTCTGTAATTTCACTGCATGAATTTCCATTATAACAAGCGTATCATTAAAGAATTCCCTCATAGGGAAACTGCCCCGATATATATATTCAATATTAGAATGCCAAGGGTCAGACACCACTTCAGAAGAAAAATAATACAATAAACTTCCAGGTTGAAAGAACGATCAAAAGAATTATCCACATCATGGAAGAATATCAAACACTTGCATTGTTATTTGGAACAACTAGCTTCTGAATTCTCCCCTATTTATATAATCATTTCTCATATGGACAAATAGTTTAAACCACCCTTGAATTTCAGGGAAAGGCCTCTCTCCATCTCTGACTGTTAAGATAGGTGCTTGGACTTACTAAAAACAGCATTATTTTTTTTTAGTACAAATAAGGTTAAGTAAAGGTACACAACAGTAGGTCCTTTTTTGCTCCCGCATGTTTTCACCAGAAACCCTCAAACTTAAACATTTGAACAAGTATATAAATAAATACGGCAAAAAAAAAAAAAAAAGGTTGATAACAATTTTAAATATATAAAATATTTAGAATTATAAATATAGTAAAAAAATCATGTTGCAATTTGGGTTCGAGTTATCAACACCTCAAATTAAGTCCAACCAGGAGACAAAAAAAAAAAAAAAATTTAAGTCCGAACCAAATTGTAAAAATGGTTGCCCAAGCAAGTAAAAAGCAGATTGGGTTCAGATTAGCCTGTCCCAGTTGCATTCCTGGGCACCAAGATATGGCCTTCAAAGCCAGACTCCATGTGCTCTTTAAAAATTAAACATATAGAATTCGGGGAAATTTTCTTGTTAATTGGTGCTGTTTATGTAAGCAGAATGGGGAGTCAGCCGATCATCTCCTAATGCATTGCTCTGTAGCGTGCGATTGCTGGAATCTCATTCTTGGCCTATTTGGCATGTGTTGGGTAATGCCACGTTCTACTAGGGAGCTAATTCATACTTGGAGAAGTTGTTGTGTGAGTAGGAGCGTTCGTGCTTATTGGAGATCTGTACCACATTGTATTTGGTGGTGTATCTGGAAGGAGCGAAATAGTAAAATGTTTGAAGGGAAGGAGTCGTCTACAGTGACACTGAAACTTTTTATCATTCGCTCTCTTTTTTGTTATGTGAACAGAAGTTCGTGTTCCTCTTCTGTTGATTTAATTTCTTTTCGGGATTCTTTGGGGCCTTGAACCCCGGTTCCTTTGTCCACGGGACGCGTTCCCCTATTGAACGCCCTTTTTAATTTATTATTACTTATCAAAAAAAAAAAAAAACATATAGAATTCGGGGTTGCAACTCGGGCAAGGCAACCTGAACCAAACCCAAGTGTTCACAGACTTGGACAACTATCTTTACAACTAGGATTGGACTTGGGCTAACAAATTTTGACCCAAACTTAATTAGAGTTAAGCTCGACTTGAGCTGTCTGCAAGCTCAATCCGGATTTTAACCTGACTTTTATACAATTACAATGCTAAATATATTATACACAGTTATAATCGTGATCAACCATTTTTTCATTCAGTTCTTTTCCTTACATCTTGATTTATTGCATATTAATCAGTTGAAAAATGAACATACTAAAAATTTGTATATATATATATATATACTATTCAATTTTGGATACCAAACCCAGACTTAACCTGCCTATTGGCCCAATTTTAATATTCCAAGTTCAAAAAATTAATGAAGGATTTGGTTTAGATTTGGAAACTTGGATTGAAGATCAAGTTGGGTCCAGCCTGGACTAAACGTCAAATTGAGTTGTGTTCTGGGCTTTATACCATAGGTAATCCCTCAACCCACTCGAGTTGCACCACTTCCATAATGTAGAATTTTTTTGAGATACGAGTCCTGCGTTTGATTTGTGCAGACTGCAGAGTAGCATACCCCCAATGTACAGGCTTGGAGAAGAAATACAAGGTAGAAGAAATAGAAGAGAAATGTGTAAAGGCTTGAATGAGAATAATAATATGTAAAGGCTTGAATGAGGCATTTATACACTCATTTAGCTCTGGTACTCATATACTAAAAGAGCACATGTTAATATTACTAGAAGGGAAACTGAATAAAATCATTGCATATTCTATGCCTAGGCATATGCGTAAAGTCAAATCTCATGAAACTAGCCTACATATCACAACTAATATGGTAAGTTACATTCATGATTCTAGTGTATCATATCTCGGCTAACACTCCCCCTCAAAATGGTGAGTGGATATTTGAGACGCTCAACTTGGACAATGCATCCTCAAACACGTTTCTTTATGTATATATAACCAACGACCATGTTTGGCTGCATTAAATTGACCAGCCAAGACATAACAATGGCGTTTTCTTCAAACCACCGTGGAGATGCCTTATCAGACTTGGTGTCTCCGTCATTCATAGACCATTAACAATGCCTCTTTAGACCATAAGCAACCAACCATGTCTCCTCAGAGCAACAACCATTATAGAGGATGTTAGAATGTTTATGTAAATATATATATATATATATATTTATTTATTTATGTTGGGTCATTATGTAATTACCCATAGTTGTTAGGACCATTGTGTAATTAGGTAACATCGTGTAATTAGGTTATTACCTTTTTCCTTTATATAAGCCTCTGTTGGCTTAGGGTTAATACACATATACAATACACAATTTTGCTCACTCTCTCTCTCTCTCTCTCTCTCTCTCTCTCTAATTCGAACTTGGTATCAGAGTTATATGAATTCATGGGTGTGGGAAACGGCAATTGTGTTGTTCTTGTATAAGATTGGAATTGCGATCGGAATTGCGATTGTGGTGTTGGTGTCTCTGCCGGAAGTTTGGTCGCCGGTAGGATTGAGAGCTCCTCGTTCGTCGTCCTCAAATCTGAAGCCTCATTCGTCGTCGTCAGACCTGAAGCCCATTTGGCTGCTCGTGTTGTTGCCGCTTTGGCTGTCAGCGAGCTCACTGACATCTACTGTCGTTATTTACAGAGGTGAGGTTCATCGATTCGTGGTTCTTTTTGGCCAGAAGTTGCAGAGGTTCTGATTCGGTGTGGTTGCTGCTTATTGATTTGGCCGTTGCTTGTGACTAGGTCGCCGAAGCCTCCGCTGTGTTGTTCTCCGGCGTCTGTGAAGTTGTGAAAAAGAAGAACCGCGTTTGGCTACACGGTTATGGTATTCCAACCATGGTTTACTAAAACTGGGATAGCTATTCCAACCCTGGTTTACAAAAACCGGGATAGCAAAGACCCGACCCGTTTGCCCAGATCCAGCCCATTTGCCAGATCCTGCCCGTTTTCTAGATCCGGCCATTTGCAATTTTTTTTCAGGTTCACTTTTTTTGTTCTCTTCTCCATGGCTGCCAGTTCAGACCTATTATCTTCTGCCTCCTTCAATCCTCCCATGACTTCAGTCAAGCTCAATGGCAAAAATTACATTTTATGGGCCAAGTCAGTAGTCATTTTCCTGAAAGCCAAAGGCTTTGGCACTCATTTGGTTAAGGATAAACCTAAAGACAGTGATGCTGGTTTCAGTTCATGGGAGCAAAGGGAAGCTCAGATCATTTCTTTAATGCTAAATTGTATTGAACCTCATATATGCTCTAACTTGTTGTATTTGGATACTGCCAAGGAGATATGGAACCAACTCCAACAGTTATATTCGGGTACTGCTAATATAACCAAAATTTATGAGGTGTGCAGACAATTTTTTGACCTCCAGCAAGGTACTCACAGTCTAGAAGAATACCTCACACGGGTAAAGGGACTTTGTGAAGAAATGAACTTGAATCAACCCATCACCTCTGAGGTGAAGTGCATACAACAACAACGTGAGGATTTTAATGTTGTTCAGGTTCTCACAGTGTTGTCACCAGAGTATGAATCTGTTCGAGTACAGATTTTGGGTAGCCCTGCACTTCCCTCTCTTCCTGATATGTTATCAAGACTCCAGCATGCTACTTTATCTAGTGGCGCTTCAGGGGGTGCTTCAAGTGGTGTCACTACTCCTCCTAGTAGTGACCGTTCTGCCTTAGTTGTGAACCAGGGTGGCTTTCAGTCTTCTCGTGGCAGTGGCGGTCGTTTTACTTGTGGTCGTGGCAGAGGTAGAGACTCGAAACTATGCACTTACTGCGGTCTTACTAATCATACTGTCAATTACTGTTGGGATCTTCATGGGAAACCGCCACCTTCTTCCTATGCACATCAAGTGACTTCTAATGAAGGGGATTCTTCTTTCTCTGCCACATCCACTGCTCCACACGTGGTTGTTGAGCCTGCTATGGTCACGATTCCCTGCGATGAGTATGCTCAGTTTCTGTCTCAACAACTGCCTTCCACCTCATCTTCTATAGTTTCCTTTACCAAATCAGGTAGTGCCCCTGCATGTCTCTTGTCCTCTCGTCAGATTCCCTGGATTCTTACTCTGGCTCATCCGATTACATGACTGGTAGTTCTCATCTCTTATCTGATTTTCAGTCTGTTCCTTCCTTTCAAAGTGTTACTCTTGCTAATAGCTCATCAACTAAAGTTTTGGGTTTGGGAACTATTCATCTCACCTCTTCTATGTCCCTTAGCTCTTTGTTATATGTTCCTCAATTCCTTTTAATTTGTTGTCCATTAGTAAAATAACTAAATCCCTTAACTACTCCGTTACATTTTATCCCACATGTTGTATTTTTCAGGATCTCAAGACGAAGAAGAAGATTGGTACGGGAAATCTAGTAGGTGGCTTGTATTACTTCGATCTTGCACCATCTCCTACGGCTCTTCAATCATCTTTGTCTTCTTTCACTGTTGTCTCGGCGACCCATCATTATCAGTTTTGCAGCATCAAGTCCTCGATCTTAGTCGTGTTGAGTCCATGTCTTGTGAAGCATATCAGCTTAGTAAGCATTGTCGTTTAACTTTCAAACTAGCTAGTAATTATGTTTCTAGTCCTTTTTAGTTAGTTCATTCAAATGTATGGGGACTAATAAAACATATTTCTATTAATGGAATTCGTTATTTTGTGACTTTTGTGGATGATCATTCTCATATGACTCGATTGTTTTTAATGAAAAATCGTTTTGAGTTTTTCTCTATTTTTCAAATATTTCGCAAAGAAATAAAAACTCAATTTGGGTGTTCCATAAAAGTTTTACGTTCTGACAATGCCAAAGAATATTTCGCGGACCCGTTTGAGACTTATTTTCATGCTAAAGGCATCATTCATCAATCATCTTGTACTTATACTCACCAAAACGGTGTAGTTGAACGTAAAAAATCGTCATCTCCAGGAAGTCTGTCGTGCCCTTTTATTTCATAGCATGTTCCTAAACGTTTTTGGAGTGATCTTCTTCTTACAACATGTCATCTTATTAATCGAATGCCCTCATCAGTGTTACAAGGTAAATCTCCTCATTTTGTTCTATTTTCTGACTCCGCATCGTTTAAGCTTACTCCTCAGGTCTTTGGATGTGTGTGTTATGTCCATAACCTTGGACCCGGTCTTAATAAACTCGACCCTCGTGCCACTAAGAGTGTTTTTCTTGGGTATTCTCACACTCAGAAGGGTTATCGTTGCTACAGTCCTCATTTTCAACACTATTTCACTAGTGCTGATGTCTCCTTTTCTGAGTCCCTCCCATATTTTTCTGATTCTACTACTCCTCTCGCTATTACTCCTGAGCCACCTATGCCAACGGTTCCCTCTCTGTTTCCTGCTTCTGCACCTCCTTGCTCCGTTGTCCCATTGCAGGTTTATACTCGACGACCTCAACCGCCTACTTCGCTCCCTCCATCTCCTTCAGAGTCTTCAGATCCGACGCCTTTGCCTGATGATTTGCCTATTGCTCTCCGTAAAGGTATTCGGTCTTGTCTTAATGCACATCCCATTTCTAACTTTGTCTCCTACCGCCATATTTCATCCTCTTTATCTCCTTTTTTTATCCAAAGTGTCTGCTACTTTTGTTCCCAAGACTTTGCAGGATGCTCTCTCTGATTCGGCTTGGCGCCAAGCCATAGTAGATGAAATGAATGCCCTTCATCGTAATCGAACATGGGATCTTGTTCCTTTACCTCCGGGCTCCAAAACGGTTGGTTGTAAGTGGCTCTACAAAGTTAAAGACCTTCACGATGGGTTTATTGAGCGGTTGAAGACTCGTCTAGTGGCAAAAGGGTACACTCAGACTTATGGTGTTGATTATGATGAGACTTTTTCCCCAGTTGCTAAGATTTCTTCTATTCGGGTACTTATTTCCATTGCTGCCAATTGTAACTAGCTGTTGTTTCAATTGGATGTCAAAAATGCCTTCTTACATGGTGACCTGGTTGAAGAAGTTTATATAGAGCAACCACCTAGGTTTGTTGCTCAGGGGGAGTATCGTCACACTGTTTGTCGGCTTAAAAAGGCCCTGTATGGATTGAAACAATCTCCACGGGCTTGGTTTGGAAAATTTTCAGAGGCGGCATTAGAATTTGATCTTAATAGATGCCAGACCGATCATTAGGTATTTCACCTACGCACTAAAGCTGGCTTTATTTTTCTTGTGGTGTATGTAGATGATATTGTGATCACAGGTGATGATTCTGAAGGCATTGCTAAGTTGAAGTTATTTCGGCAAAATCGATTCCACAATAAATACTTGGGTAAACTTAGGTACTTCTTGGGTATTGAAGTTGCTAGATCCAAGGAGGGTATAAGTTTATCTCAACGAAAATATGTGTTGGACTTGCTAGAAGAAACGGGTATGTTAGGTGGTTGTCTGGTTGATGCTCCTATGGATTCAAATACAAAACTTGTGTCTGATGAGGGTGATCTATTTAATGACCCGGGCAGATTTCATCGCCTTGTTGGGAAATTAATTTATCTCACTATCACTCGACCTAATATTTCATATGCAGTTAGTGTTGCAAGTCAGTTCATGAGAGCTCCTACAATGCCACATTGGATTGCTGCTCTTCGGATTATTCGATATCTCAACCAAGCTCCAGGTTTTGGGTTACTATACAAATCAAATGGTCACCTCAGGGTGGAAGGTTTTACAGATGCTGACTGGGCTAGTTCTCCTCAAATAGGAGATCTACTACAAGCTACTGCACATTTGTAGGAGGAAATCTTGTTACATGGAGAAGTGAAAAGCAAACAGTGGTAGCTCGATTTAGTGTTGAAGCTGAGTACAGAGCAATGGCCCATACCACTAGTGAGTTGATATGGATACAACATTTTCTAAAAGAACTTGGGTTGATAGTTGAAACTCTTACTCCATTGTTCTGTAATAATCAAACAGCTGTTCACATTGCATCGAATCCTGTGTTTCATGAGAGGACCAAACATATTGAGGTTGATTGTCACTTCATTCCAGAAAAATTATTAAGTGGGAGCATTTCTACTCCATTTTTGAAGTCTGAAGATCAACTAGCTGATATGTTTAACAAAGCATTGGGTCATAATCGGTAAAGGCCAATCTGTTCCAAGCTGGGATTATTTGATATACATTCTCCAGCTTGAGGCGGAGTGTTAGAATGTTTATGTGTGTGTGTGTGTGTGTATATATATATATATTTGGGAAAATTACATATAAATGGAGTCAAAGTTTCATATTTATTTAGAGGCTGAGTCAAAGTTCCATATTTCTCTAAAATGGATTGCTGAGGTGGCACATGATTTTTTACTGTTTAGAAATTGTGTTGCCTAAAATACCTTTCCGCGAAGGTACTATTTTTTCTTCGAAGGTACTACTTTTTTGAACTGAAGGTATTACTTTTTGGCGTCCAGGTACCATGTTTTTTAAACACCCGCGAAGGTACTACTTTTTCTCCGAAGGTACTACTTTTTTGAATTAAAGGTACTACTTTTTTGAACTGAAGGTACCACTTTTTTGTTAGGGAAGGGCATTTTAGGCACCACAATTTTCTAAATAGTAAAAAACCATGTGCCACCTCAGCAATCCATTTTAGAGAAATATGGAACTTTGACTCAGTCTCTAAGTAAATATAGAACTTTGACTCCATTTATATGTAATTTTCCCTATATATTTATGTTGGGTCATTATGTAATTAGCCATAGTTGTTAGGACCATTGTGTAATTAGGTAACATTGTGTAATTAGGTTATTACCTTTTTCCCCTTTATATAAGCCTTTGTTGGCTTAGGGTTAATACATATATACAATACACAATTTTGCTCTCTCTCTCTCTCTCTCTCTCTCTCATGAATTCGAACAGAGGAAATAGAAGAGGAATGTGTAAAGGCTTGAATGAGAATAATAATATGTAAAGGCTTGAATGAGGCATTTAAACACTCGTTCAGCTGAGGTATTTATATATTAAAAAGAGCACATGTTAATATTACAAGAAAGGAAACTGAATAAAATCATTACATATTTTATGCCTAGACATATGCATAAATGAAGTCAAATCCCATGATTCGAGCGTATCATATCTCAACTAATATGGTAAGTTAAATCCATGATTCTAGCGTATCATATCTCGACTAATATGGTAAGTTACATCCATGATTCTGGCCTATCATATCTCGTCTAATAATTTGCATTTGGGCATCTTCTAGGAATTTATACCTAATATATTATACAAAAATGAGATGGTCTCTTGTAAAACAACAAAAAGAAAAAAAGAAAATAAATTTCAACCCAAAATTTAATTCTAGAAAAAATTTAAATCAAGTAGTATTCCATATTTAAGCAACTGGTGCCAAGAATAGATCAATTTTGCAGGATGAATCACCTGATTCATGTCAATGGTTTGAACAGCTTCCCCACGAGTGAAGACAATAGCATGGTTTTGGTTCTCAGGCTTCCCTTCCCCAAGTTTAGGATCTCCAGGAAGTTTAATGGAATATATTTCCTACACATAAATGAAGAGCCCATAAGCATGACATACATCAAAATGCTAAACCCAGAAAAGCCTAACTCCAACTATGATAATGAGTAATGGATACAACTTGCAAAAGTCCACATGATGAGGAATGACAATCGAACTACAACATGATGAAGTTCAGAGCATACTGGACACGATATTCATCAAATGAAGTTCCATTGTTATCTGTTCACAGCATGAAGTACAAACAAAAGAACAATGCTGAACAGAATACGAGTATTTACAAACATATATAATTATATAAAAAAGTAATGAGCAAGAACTTTTTCTTTTTTCTTTTGATAAGTAAAATTGTATAAAAGCGCTCAAAAGGGGAGTGAAGACCAAGAGAAATACACAAGGCCAAAAAGGGCCTCTAAGCCTTCAAAGAGGCCACAAAATCAACAAGCCTATAATGGAAATTGATTTTTATTAGAATAAAAATATCTGAAAATACATCAGTTGACTGTTATGGTAACTCGTTGAACAAGTTATAACAAGAAAAGTACAAGAAGATGAGGTGAGCTGAGAAGAAGATAAGTAACTTTTCTGATCCATAAAAACATATAAATTATGTATTAATTTTGTTTATGAGTGCGCATCAACCTTAGAACTCAGTGGATCGAAATATAATCCTACAACCAAATATAGGAACTAACTTGTAAAGCTGAATAATCAGAGTTAAAAATCGTAACTGAAATGCCAAATTTCATTAAAATATAGTATCATCATTTCAAAAAATGGACAAATCAAACATTGTAAATCTAAATTTCCTGTAGTACCTGTATAATTTCATGATATTTTGAAGTCAGATCCTTAAAAATTATGTACTTACCAAACCCCTCCAAAAAGGAAAAGAAAAAAACAGAAAGAAAGAAAGAAAAGAGAGAGAGAAACAGAAAAGAAAAGGAAAAAGTCTTGTAATGGTGAGAATGACCTAGACGAAAAAAGACATTATATTATTGACCCCCTCCCCAAACTAAAACGTGGTCCATCCCTAGCAATCGCCTTCAAAGATACACATAAGCAGGTACTGTAATTCATCATCATCATCCTTGCCTTGTCCTATACAGATGGGGTCAGCCAAAATTTGAGTAACCCTTTGGTCTAGAATTGTAATATTTATATTGTCATCTTCTGCTACACTTCATTACATTTCATAAATTTTGTTTTAATTTTACTAATTTCTTGGCCTTTTGCTTCTACTAATTTTTTGGCCTTTTGCTTCTAAAGTCTTTTTCCATGTTTTTTTTTTTACTTTATTGCTAACTTATCAGTATGAAATAAAACTATGTCATAAGCAAATAACATAAATCACGGAACAATTTCTTGGATATCTTTTGCTATTTCATCCAACACTACAAGTATAGACTTAACACAGATCCTTGATGTAATCCTAATTTTACAGATAATTCACAAGTTTCTCCATGTAGTACAAATTCTAGTCAATGTCTCATTACAAATGCCCTCAATAAGATTAAAAAGTTTTATAGAGTATTGTTTTCTATGTAGAGCCCACCAAATTATGTTCCTTGGAAGTCTTATTGTATGCCTTCTAAAAGTTTATGAATACCATGTGTAAATCTTTTTGTTTACTCCAACACTCTACTGTTAATTGTCTTATCAAGTATATGACTTCCATAGTGGAAGTACTTGGCTTAAATACAAATTGATTATCGGATATTGTGGTTTCTTTCCTTCGGCTTAGGTCGATTGTACTTCCCTTAGTTTCATATGACTTAATTTATATTTCCTCCATTCACTTAACATTCTTTCATCTTTTAGAAGTTTGTTAAACAACATTGTTAACCATTCAATTCATATTTTTTTTCTAAAATTCTCAATATCTCTATATTTACGTTATCAGGTCCCACAACTTTTATAATTACTCATTTTCTTAAATGTGTCCTCTACCTTCTTATTATTTACCATTCCCATATAGGTTTCTTTACTTCAGATTTTTTCTCTATTATATTAAGCGAGGAAAGTTTTTCCATCTTTCTAATATATCTTTTTCCTTTATTTAATATTGTTTGATCCAAATCCTTAATACACCTAATTCGATCTTGCAATGGTACTAGTATTATCTAGCCCACTTGTTACCACATATTCTCCTTACCATATATGCATTACAGACCATATTATCTGATACACCTATATGCATTAGAGACCATTTTAAACTTTTGTATCTCCAAAGCATTATTTCCTTTTCTTTTTCTTTTATACATCCTTGGGTTTCATCCTCAGGAATAATGTAGTGAACTAAAAAAAAGAAAAGAATATATATATTCAAACATTGACTTTTAGTAACGGCCACCAAATTCCTCACTTACTCAGTGAGGAAAGTAAATTTTCCATCTTTCTAATATATCTTTTTCCTTTATTTAAGATTGTTTGATCTATATCCTTATCTAGTCCACTTGTTACCACATATTCTCCTTACCATATATGAATTAGAGACCATATTATCTGACACACCTATATGCATTAGAGACCATTTTAGATTTTCTATCTCCAAAGCATTATTTCCTTTTCATTTTCTTTTATACACCCTTGGGGTTTCATCCTCAAGAATAATGTACTGAACTAAAAAAACAAAAAGAAAAAATATTCAAACGCTGACTTTTAATAATGGCAACCAAATTCTAAGACAAAATGTGAACACACTCATTGTGCAATGGAGAGGGTATACAAGAGGTTGGATTTGCAAACTACTGAAACAATTCTAAACAGAAAATCAATAAAATACATACCTGATCTTTCCCATTTGCATCAGCTTTAACAAGCTTTGAATAAAAATCCTTTAAAACTCTTCCATCAGTTACGCCACTATCTTCCACATGTATATAAGCGACTCGAAGCGCCTCATTCCTTGAAACAAATAACATACAAATAAAATGTTTTAACCATGTACGCAAATAAATGTGTTTCAAATAAGTACTTCACAATAAATCACCAAGGCAAACTTTTTCGTTGCAAAAATATTTAACCAGGTTTTTTCTGAAACACCAAGAACCATTCAAGCCGTAATATCTCTCTTCTAATCCACTGTAGCAAAGAGAAACACACCACGGAGGTAGTGTTGCTACCACCATCTCCATGACTAATGGCTATTTTCAGCTCCCTGCCTCTCTCTGACAGCAGCAACTCTCCCAGAACATCCATGACTCCTGGCTTCCTGTAGATCCCAAGCTCCATCCCTTTCCCCTCTCTTGCCATCAGATGTCCCTGGTTTTGATACTTTCCTTGACTCTTAATTTTAATTTGCATCAATCAACACATTAAACTAGATACTGATGGACTTTTCAGAATTTTTCTATCTGTTCATTTACAGCTTTCCATTGTAGTTAAGTCTCATATTTCGTTTTCCAAAATTAAATTCAGACATGTTCCAGATTCCTCAATTCAGATCTTGAGGCATTAAACATGACAGTTCCAAATTCCTCGCACACATGCTAGGCTCCTCATGAACACCGTGGTGGTCAATTATTGTGGAAGAGCCCAGTGGGCTAGTAGATGAAATATTACATTGCATTAATTAACATACAGGCTTCTATTTACAGTTAAAAGGACATTATATGAATTGATGAACCAAACCATAAAAGAAAAAGAAATGGAAAAAATATTAAAAATCAACATACAAGAATAAAACATTATTATTAAAAAGTACCTTTGCAACAAAAGAGCAATATCAGCTGCTTCCACAGCCTTTTTCTGTTTTTGTTGCCCATAGATTTGGCACGAAACTACATAAGTGAACTTAAGATCAGCTTGTGCTCGTGCTTCACGCGATAACTCAAAACCTTGAGTTGTGGGGAAGTTAGCTTGAGAATAATTATCCTCTGAAGATACTACAAACAATATGAAAAAAAATATATGAACATTATATACCCATGACCTCTACCTAAATAGAGATTAAGAATTAATGAATTCACAAAATAAAATACCTCCCAGTGATCTCCCTTCCAAATAACTTTGTAGCATTAATGCCCTTCTATAATACATCATACCCCGCACTGTACTTGCAGCCATTATATAGAGCACAATTAGAATTTGAAACGAACACCTCTTATGAATTTTCCCATGGAATGCTTATAAAATGAACAAGATTTTCAAACAACAACCACAGAGGACCTAATATCAATATCAGAAGAATCTAACCTGTCCTAGCTAGTGTCTGCCCACGATAAGATGCCCAAAACCGAAGCTCCAATGAATCACTAGAGCTTTCTTGAAGTTCTTCATCCACAGTATCACCACGACCAATCCGTTCCAAAAAATTCTCCCATTCATCTAAAAATACAGAAAATGAAATTATTTAATCATTTGCAGTGACAGGTTGAGATATTGTACAAGAGAATATCCTAAAGAAATTGTATAGGAGCCATGTGTGTTGAGGAGGATAAATATAAGAAGGAATCCAAATATTAATCTCACACACAATAATATACTGTAACATCACCGACAAAACTGTATACAGTTGATGCAGTACAAGGAAATAACCATGATACCAACTGATTTAGGAAGAGAAGAGAGAAATATGAAAAGAGAGAAGTAGCAGACCAAATTAGGGGAAAAAAGATAATAAGAAGGAACAATTCTCAAATCTAAATCCCAATTTCAATCATACAGTCTCAAAAACTCTTTTACGTAATCACCATATATAAGAAAAAAAATAACTATATTCCTAACTATAATTAAGTAATGGAAATATAGGTAACAGACAACAAAAATCTTGATGAATTCAAACTATGCTATGCAAAACATATAAATCAAACCAACAACTGAAGCATATCCTCCACCACCCAATAATGTGCCTCTCTAACTGCAAGTCGCAACTCATTCTCCCGTCATCAACACAACAGCAATGAGCAATCGACGTATGTCCGTCCACCAAAATCCCAGCCAATCTCGAAGAGACCACCTTTAGCGGCCTCTCACCACACCAAGTATCCTCCTAGAAGCTAATGAGACGCCTATCCCTCACCCTGAACCGAATTGCTATGTAAATTCATCCCAACCCTTACAGATGCTTTCCCAAAACCCACCCCTGCCGGGGATCGCACCACCATAGAACACCAACCACCTCTAGACTCTCCATATCTGCAATAAATGACTCTCCTCCAGAATCTGTGCTTCTCCATCCCAAAAGTCCAAAACCACTTGCCCAACAAAGCTTTGTAGAACAAGCCTAATCTCCTCACACCCAACAAACCAACCCAAATCGGTATGCAAATCTGCTCCCCAACCACCAGATGATACTTGAATATATCTCCCATGCCAACCCACCCAGGAAATTCCTCTGTAGCTTCCCAAACCTCCGCTCGAAAAAAGATGGGATCGGAAACGACGACATAAACTAGGGAGACTCGAAAGTGTGCTCTTCAAAAAGGTTAGACAGCCCCCTTCTAATAAATACTATTTCTTTCAGCCAGCCAGTTGCCAGTCGAACTGTTCCACCACAGGGTCCTAGGACGACAATCTCCTCGACTGAGCACCCAATGAAAGTCCCAAGTACACCACCGAAAAAGTCTCTACACTAGAACCCAAGATGCTATCCAAATGAGCAATCTCCACCAGCTCTCTGACTGGCACAATCTCACTCCACAAATTTGCATCTTTTTCTTTTCTATCTTGTAAACTATTATTGCACATGGAACCAATACTATGGCACAAAAGTCGAAACTCAGGTGGACACCATTAACGCAAAGGCTAGTTGGTGTACTAAATAGCATGCAAGACTGTGTTTCACCCTTCCCAACCCAATTTTGAATATACCTATATTTTAAGTACTTACATAAACACCTTATACATAACGATATATATATATATATATATATATATATATATATATATATATATGTAGTACAGCACCTCCGAATTCCAAAGAGCACCATTGCAAAAATAGAAAAGTTTATCAGTCTACAATAACTCTTTAAAACAAGCGCAAATCAAAACGATATGCTACCAGTACGTTCTATTTAAGGCCAAAAGCACCAAGTTGGTAATGAGATAGTTGTAACAAGGGCAAGCATCTCTTTTTTTGTTGTGACGGGCATGTGGTCAGAAAATTTCTGTAGGAAATTTGACTTCATTTTTCTTTCCTTATTTTCTTTCCTAATGTTAAGGATTGATGTTTCCTTATTTTTCTTTCCTTGATGTACTCCTTTGTGTATATATATAAAGAGTGGCTAGTCTCATTAGGAGTTAAGCTAATTACACGTATTTTACTTTTTGGTATCAGAGCCTATTTTTTCTCTTCTATCTCCTCTTTCTCTTTGCGTCAATTTTTTTTCTCTTTCTCCCACCAAGTTACAACCCTAGATCAGAAGCCTTTCTCCCCTTCTCTTTTTCCTATTGATGTGACTGCCTAGGTGCAGAAAAACGCTAGGGCACCTTTGTGTGTGACAGCGTAGGGAAGATCTCTTCCCAGGTTCAGACCCCTATTCTGGGATATTTCCTTAGCATCTGACATGTGCTAAGGGACTCTCAGTGATATTTGCAACTTGTTTGGGCTGCCGGTGTGTTCGGCAGCATTGCTCGTCATCTTTGCCGTGTCTCCGGCAGTTTTATTGTTATGTATTAGACTGTGTTCTTTTTCCTATTATTGTGACTGCCTAGGTGCAGAAAAACCCTAGGGTAGTCCTCGGAATCAGGCAATTCTCTTACCCATATAGTTCCTAATGCCTCTGAGCCCCAATCCCGTTATCCTTCCCGAATTCGTAATCATACTTCTGATATGGTTTTTCTGGAAGTACTAATCATCCTACTGCCCAGTATGTTTCTTATTGAGGCCTTTCAGATTCATATCAGGCCTTTTGGGGGATGGTTGAAACTATCCATATCCCTCGGACAGTATCTGAAGCTCTACAGGGCCCTAATTGGGTTGATGCCATGAAAGCAGAGATGGATGCCTTAGAGCAAAATCAGACATGGGAGCTTGTTTCATTACCTAAAGACGAAAACATTGTGGGATGTACGTGGGTATTTACTGTGAAGTACTTGGCATATGGTACTATTGATCGATATAAGGCTCGTTTTGTAGCCAAAGAATTTACTCAGATTCCCGGAAAAGATTTCAGTAATACTTTTGCTCCTATGGCTAAATTGACAACAATTCATCTTCTTGTATCTTTAACTGCATCTCATTCTTGGCCTCTAAATTAGATGGACGTTAAGAATGCCTTTCATCATGGTGATTTAGTTGAGATAATTTACATGGATCCTCTGCCGAGTTTTCGGACTGAGGGGGAGTATGCAGGGAAGGTGTGTCGCCTTCGTAAATCTCTCTATGGGCTGAAACAATCACCCCGGGCTTGGTTTTTCAAATTCAGTGATGTTATACTCTCTATGGACCTTGTGATGTGTCATTCTGATCACACTTGTTTAATTCGTCGCTGTTCAGATGGTCAGTGTATTATTTTATTAGTGTATGTTGATGACATCATTATCACAGGAGATGATTCCACAAGTATTGCACAAGCGAAAGGAGATATTTGTCGGTTCTTTGATGTGAAGGATACGGGTTCCCTTCGTTACTTCCTTGGCATTGAAGTTGCTCGCTCTCGCCATGGGATCTCTCTTTCTCAGAGTAAATACACTTTGGATCTTCTTCAAGATACAGGTATGATGGGGTGTAGATCAGCTTCTACTCCTATGGATCCAAACCTTAAGCTTTCCATTGAAACTAGGGAGTTGATTCCTAATCTGACTGTGTATCAGTGCCTAGTAGGTCGCCTCATCTATTTTACCAATACTAGGCCAGACCTAACCTTTGCAGTGAGCGTTGTTAGTCACTTTATGCATGCTCCTCGTACATCTCACTTGGATGCAGTTTATCATATACTGAGGTACTTCAAATCTTGTCCGGGACTTCGTCTATTCTACGCATCAGGACATCAATCAGAGGTTTCATGCTTCACTGATGCAGATTATGCAGGATGTAAGACAGACAAGCGTTCTACTTCTGGCTTTTGTATGTTCTATGGCAATAATCTTATATCATGGAAGAGTAAGAAGCAGGCCGTAGTCTCTCGATCCTCAGCCGAGGCTGAATACCGTGTTATGGCTCTGGGACATGTGAGCTCCTTTGGCTTCGATCTATTCTCACCGAGTTAGGTATACCTGTCAAAGATTCATCTAAATTATTTTGTGACAATAAATCTGGGATTATGCTTGCTTCAGATTCTGTTCTTCATGAAAGGTCAAAGCATATAGAAGTTGATATTCACTTCATCCGGGAGAAGGTTCGATCAAGCATTATTGTTCCATTTTTTGTTCCTTCGTCAGAGCAGACTACAGATATGTTTACAAAATCAGTGGGACCATCCCTACTAAAGTCGTCTATACCCAAGCTGGGCTTTGGATGATATCTTCGCTCCAGCTTGAGAGGGAGTGTAGGAAATTTGACTTTATTTTTCTTTTCCTTATTTTCTTTCCTTATGTTAAGGATTGATGTTTCCTTATTTTTCTTTCCTTGATATACTCCTTTTTGTATATATATAAACAGTGGCTAGTCTCATTAGGAGTTAAGCTAATTACACGTACTTTACTTTTATTTCCCACTGGTAATAGATTTCATTCTCAGAGCAATAATCGATACCAATGTCTATATATAAATTAAAGTGCATCACAGTCTACACATTAGGATGAGAAACGCAGCGCCAAAAAGACCAAGATAATAAAGAACATGAAAATAAGCAGGCACAAAAATAAGTAATCAGAAACATCTCTGCCAGACTAAAAAATCATTATTATATAATCAATTGCAGTTAAACATTTCTACACAACAATGATATTTGTATAGATTATCAGAAAATAGTGGAAAAAAGAACCAAGACTAAAAAATTAATCTAATACAATTCAAAAAAATATTTAATCAATTTCATTATAACAAATTTCTTTCAAACAATTATAAAAATTTAAAATAAACTGAGACAAAATCCATAAATAACTTCAAAGTAAGGGCAAGACATTCAAATTGAAACGAAATTATTTGTTTAATTTTTTTATTTTAAGCATGGACACTGGCACTTTTCCCTTTGTTCTCGAAAGGATTTAGAGAGAGAATTATATAAAATAACAACATATTGAACCAAACAGAGAATAGAACACATTTCCTTTCCAAATTATGTCATGTCACTTAACCCCATTCTGTGTGGCTCCAACATGCATTCAAGTAATGGCAACATATTATTTTTAGTCTCGGTAATAAAACAGTGCATTTAACGTAATCAACGAACATAAAATGATAGGCTATGACAAAATAATATTCAACCATAAAGAGAACCAAACAAAAAAGACAAAGAAAGCGAAGGCAGATTTAAGCAATGTAAAAGTACCTGGAAAAATCTTCTGAAGATAGAAAAGAATAGAAATTCCATCTTCATTTTCAACCCGCAAGTCAGAAGAACTATAAAGTACAGTCTCACTGTAGTATGGGGTGAAGACACTATTCGCACCAAAAAATAAAAACAAAAAGAGAGAGAGAGAGAGAATAATTATAAGAACAATTACACTAATATTTTAAAAACTATAAAAAAATCACCTCCTTGGACAAGTTAATTAGAATGTACCAGAATGGCGCCATTTCAGCAACTGGCTTTGCTGGAGGCATGTCCATAAATAATGAGTTTGTGAAGAACTCCAATCGTCTTCTTGCTTCAAGATTCTTTGGTATATTAGCTGCCGAGTCCTTTACAGTAAGAAGCAGCTGCAACCGTTTCACCTGCTCCTTCTGAAATAGGGGGGGGGGGGGGGGTGGAATGAATAAAATGGCTCTAGTAATGAACAACACAAAAACGAAGACAAAACTCTCAGAGGTTCTTACAATTTCAGGATCCTTGGGCCATTCTATCCTAGAAAATAGCCGCCCCTCATTTCTTGCCCTTAACAATATATTCCACGTATCCAGCTGCTCCCTAGGGATTAAAGTATATTTATTGCCCATGAAAATTCATAGTGAACAAGACAACCAATTCTTACATAACATTTCAAGCAATAATGTCAGGTAAATTGTATACCTTAAGTCAGATGACAGCAGATCATGCGTAACAACCTCATATAGATCAAATAACGCGTTTGCAGCACCCTTTGCAAGTGCATCAGTTTCATTCCGTACCTGAAAAATTATTTGTTGCCAAAAATAATAAAAACCACGAGAATAAACAGTGAAATAGAAAAGTGATATTGGATTCTAAACTTAGATGAATTATATCTAATGTAGTAATTTCACAATTGCTTAAAGCAGTAAAAGTAAATCATCAAACATAGAAGTAGAAAATTTTAACAGGGACATAGTAAATCAAGAAAGGTGTTCTTTCCCAACAACTAACAATATAATATTATATAAGAAATTCTTCAACGTCCTTTTATGATTTTATCTTCAGCAATTGCAAGACAGAATGGGGATTAAAGCATAAGGTTGCTCCATTGTTTAAATAATAGAACAAACGATAATTTACGTTTCTTAAAAACAGGTCCTAGATAATTTTTGCTCCAACATGCTATTGGTCTAGGTTTACATCAAATAAAAAAGGTAAACCCAATGCATGGGGCTCCCACCATTGCAGTGTCTGGGGTAGGTTAGATGAACACAGATCTCTGCAGGCTGTTTCCTTTTTTCAAATCCATGACATCCAGGTCAAAATGGAGCAACCCAAGGCTCGCCCTCGTTTACATCATATAAATTGACCTTAAAAATATATTTAAAAAAATAACAGATATTGTTTTCCTAGTTATAGTTCTGGATAAGCCAGAACAACCGTATTTCTTTTCAATTTTTTATTCCGGATTACTATATTTTTTTGATAAGTATTCCGGATTACTATATGAAGATTATATAACAAACCAAATATAAGAGTAGAGAGAGAAAGACTAGAAACAATCATTTGCTATGTGAATGACAAAAAATGGATACTAATAAAGGGAATTGGATATGGATGGAATAAGATGAAATAGAGTTACTTTGTCGTTCCATATGAAATAAGGCAAGGAGGGAGACATTATGAAGAAGTTTTGGGAGTTACAAAGGAAGCCTCAAGCTTCTATTGATCATGGGCTGAAATATAATATCCTGATGTTCTTCAGTAACATATCAGAAGAAAAGTAGTCCTATTCATAAAAAATGTCCAACAATTTTGATAGCAAAAATGTCCACACCAGATAGAAGGAGGTAGTAGCAGTTTCTATTTACAAAGGATGCAAACAGTGTATAAAATCAGGACAACAACCAAAACTAGGGAAAAAAAAATCAAGACAACTAAATCACAAAACAGAAAGCATCTAGGACTGAAATGAAATATCCAAAGTCCACCTTGTGTTGTACCATGAAAATGTAATACAATTAGGTCTAATGGTACGGAAATAATATATAAAGAAGCTTCATATAAACTTATCAATATATATATATATATATATATATAAACAAGCTTCATATACAAAGAGAAATCCTGCTTATAATGCAATACCAGAGGGGAATTGGCTTAGATTACCATTCACAGGAAAATGATATTGGGATGATATGAGAAAAAATGGGATTCTGAAAATTAAACTTGCACAAAGTACAGCATTCCAACTACAAAAAGTTCATGACAAAGTTGGCCAATTCTATTGAATTCCAGGCAGGTGAATAACTGTCAGTATAATGGAACAAGCTGAAAAAGTCTAGAATTTGAGAATCACATTACAAAAACAAATGATGAAGGTGGTAAACTAGAGACTAGAGATACAATATAGAAAAGCTCAAACGAAGCAGTAACTCCATGTCTTTTTTGCACAACCAACTCTCACGATCTGTTTTTTATAGCGAAATCTAAAATTTAAAAGGAAAAACAGTGCAGGATATAGGACAAAATCAGACACACTAAAACCTGCAATCCATCGTTATGAATTAGCAACAGATGTTGCATAATTCAACTAAATTATGCTCATAAAGAACAGAACAATTACCAAGAGCCCAAGCAAGGCCGTAAATCTTGACAGCACCAGTGGAAGCTTCTTAAGTGATAAGGTTATAACAAGTGAACCCTCCAATATACTAGTGTTGATCTCACGAAAGATCCTTTCAACCCTGTAAAAAAAAATGGTTGTGTTTGAAAAAGACAAAAAGAAAATCACGACACTACTCAATTAAAAAAATCCTTGGTCCAACTACTTGCCATCAGCTAAATAAATTGTGTTAACAAAGATTTCTAACGCGAATACTTTAGTTAAACCAAATGCTATCACATCTTTCCTAACCATCTCAAGTCGACTTACTCCTCCCATTCTACTACCTTACCCTAAATTCACACCTCGTTCCTCCTCACTTGTAATTATCTGTCCTTGCTGCTTGTGACTAAACCGTCTTACTTGGTTATTCTTCATTTTAAATTTATTTGGCACCACATCCACTGTCTTACAAATGCATTTATCTCTAATTTCCGTTGTCTTACATGTGGACTCTTCTAAACGCATTAAGCCCCAATCTCAGATATGCAACATCTTGGAATGTGTGACATGTTTGATTGAACATATTCCTAATGTTGGAATATTTGAATACTCAGAGGTAATTAGCATTTGGGGGTATCTTTCAATTGCTGCATATTCAATAATATAAATTGATGGGGTGTAGAGATTCTAGTATTATTTTTGAACCACTTCTCCCACGTCTCTTTCTTTCACCCTCTCTCTGGCCTAACCACAATATTGACTTCCATCTTAGTATTAAAGTATTTAATAAACATGCCACGGTATCACTCAGAACCACATAAGAATAAAGTAAAGGTGTGCTCATGACAGCGTCAATATAATGGCACCAGCATTGGTACGGCCAATTTTCGCTACTTTAAGGTGTTTTGGAAGTTTGAAGTATTTTGGGGAAAAAGACTGCATTTTGCAATTTGTTTTTTGGTTGTGCTTGGGTTCGGTCTTCTTGCAATATTTAGCGCTATGGGGTGCGCGTAGGTGATATTTGTCTTTTGGAGCATTCTTCCAACTTGATTGCATTACAAAGGTTTTCCCTTGGGCTTCTTGGATATTACCCTTTTCAACTTAGACTAGCTTTGGTATGAGAGAAGAAAGGGGGATGGAGGGAAGAATGGATGGATGGAACAGGCATCAACTGTTTAGTATGGGAGTGAGGAAGAGAGGATGGATGATAGAATGGATGACGCAACCTTCAGGCCCACAATTTTGATTTCATCATAATTGGGAACGAAGAAGGGAGAGAAAACAAGGGTATATGTTGCATGTTAATGAAAAGATTTAATCACCATCATCCACACCCTTCCATCTAGTTTTTCCGCCCCTCCACCAAAACTGAGTATCAAAGTTCTGTAATACTTCATTTAGTATCTTGCTCTTAAATTCCATTTTATTCCTTTTAGTTGCATCAACTAGATTTTCGATATTTAATTGTCCTTTAAATATGCATCTAAAACCACCAATCAATGTTGTCAGGTCAAGCTTTCACATGAAATAGAGGACAAACACAATCCAACTTCTATTTGATAAACTTTTAAATGTTATTGAATATTTATCTCATTTTCCAACATAATTCATTTCTCCTAATCTTTGGAAACTATGCACCATCTCATACCATACATGTTCACCATTAGTTTTATCTTATTTTACATCAATTAAGTTAAAAATAATATAAGAATAAAAACAAGTTCCGCTTCTACAGTGTAATGAAACTCGTACCAAAGTCTGCCAACATCATCAACCAGGGAATGTAAAATTTTTTCCACACTGTAGTAGCACTCCTGAACAGCATATGCCATATAATCATCACTGCAAATTCTATTCCAAAGATCTTCTTGTGTATCTTTGCAATCCAAAGCTAAATCAATCGCCAACAAGATCTGTAAAACTAATAAAGTCTCAACATGGAAAGAACAAAAGACTAATACAAGATTCTGCAGGTAATCAGGTAAAAGGAGTAAAGTATTAGCAGGTTGCACCTTACTACTCAAAAGAAACAAAGGCCACTGAACTAATCTCAGACTTCCAGTGTTACTAGGCATAGAAAGCAAGTCCATCTCCCTGGAAAAATAAAATCCAGCCCGATATTGACAAATTTAACTACAGAACAGAAGTTGAAAGAAACAAAATAAGATGTGAAGGAAAATGTTCAAACAATAGCATCTTCAGAAATTTACCGATTACTTATGTAATCTTCTTCACGCAAACTTTTGATGATCTCATTCCAAAATGGGGAAAACATGGCCGCACATGTCTTGTTGGTCTCTTGAGAATCCGGCTATCCAAATACATAAATTTAGAAATGATTGAAAAAAGAATGACAGATGCATTTCAAGAAAACGACAAAAATCAACAGAACATTCTTTAGAAAATCAACATAACGCAACCAAAAAAAATAAAAATTTAAACATTGTAAAAAAAACCAATAGATCCAAAATCAACAAAAGAAACTACTAAAAAGAGTTGCATAACTTTGACTTCCGATGAAATACAGAAACTAATTTAAATGATTCACAATTTCATTCTTCACATAACTTTTCCAAAATCAACAAAAAAACCTACTTAAAACAATTGTGTAACTTTAATTTCTGATGAGTTGGATAAATTGATTTAAATAATAAGTAGATAACACAATTTACAATGCAATAAATTAAGCAAACATTACAATGACAAAAATAGCAGGAAAGAAAAAATAACCAAAAATATCAAATGAAATAATCTATCAGATGGTCGTTGAAATAACTTAATAGACACCTGAGAGGCAAAAAATAAAAAATAAAAAGTATCACCAACCTCAGTTGACTGTCTGTTGAAAGGGATCCTGTAGGAGCAAAGTAACATAGATGTCATCAAAATAATATAATAGAAGAAGAACAATAAGAGGAAGCAATACAATTTTGTGATGCAAAAATTAATTCCAATTTAACAAAATAATATAATAGAAGATGAAGAATAAGAAGCAGCAATACAATTTAACAATGGTAAATAACTAATATATATACGCATATAAGGCAAACCTATATAAGATTACCAGATAACAAACTCAAATTCTAAAAAATATTAAAAACAGATTAATGCCACAGTACTTACATATTAGATAAACAATCTAAACCATATGCATATCAACAAGTCTTAAAGGCCCCAATTTTACTCTCTAATCAATGTTTCATGATAGTTTATTAATTGTTTTGATTAATTGGCAGGAACAACGTTTGAGTAGACTTATTCTTTTATGTAATCCCAGTATGAGAAGATCTAAAAATGAATTTTCCAAGCACATGGAAAGAAAAAAAGACAAAAACATACACAATATTCATATGTACGATATTTATGTTCATAATGATGTCATCCTTGCCTTTGGTACTCCAGAAAAACGAATCTTGATTGAACCTATATTTGCTTAATGTATTCTGATCCAACGTAGACTCGATATGAATTAATGAATTGACTTTACTACACTGGTGCAAAAATTGGAATGAAAGAAAAAAGAAGAATTGAGGTACAGACTTAGTGCATGTCACACCACAGACAAGCTAAAATCCTTGTAAGAGCTTGAACAGTCTCGAAGACTGTTTTCATATCATTGACCACTGGAAACTGGCTCACATGCTAATCCAAATAAATATATTAATTAATTACAATAAAATGGAAAATAAATACCCTACTCCAGCATTCAACTTATAAACCTAAAATTTTTACATCAAGAGAACTTCATCATAAACAAAATTTCACTAGTATTTTTCTAGCCATCACAAATCCAATGTCTAGTGTCATAGAAAAGCCGTGAAGATTAACAGCCTCAACAATGGTAATAATTTCAATTATTCTCTCAATTAAAAGACTATCAATTTATCTGTTCTATTGAGTTCCTAACTGCTCCTTAAATGGGACAACAAACCATCAAGTACAATATCATAGACCAATATAACATGATGAAGCCAAAGGTCAAGTGTACCAAATTTAATCCCATTGTGCTTTAAAATCAGATTGTTTAGATACCAGAAAACTATAAGCATAAAAGCTCAAAAATACATTGAGTGAGATATCATCATCCTAGCCTTAATCCCATATGAATGCAGTCAGCAAAATGAATTCTCTCTCCAATCTTTCATTTCACTTACTATATTTAACTTTAAAAAAGTCATTTCTAATAACCTCAACACACGTTAATTTTGGTTGGCCTCTCCGTCTCTTACCTTCTGTTACAACAAGTCTTGCGTAGTCTAAAAGGTGGTCATGTGGTTCCCTCTTATCTCATCTAACCAGAGCGTCTCTAGGTCCCCGATGTATGTGTCCAAACCATCTAAGTGTACTTTCTCTAATTTTCTAACCTAATTTTTTTGACACTTTCAATAGTGACCCTATCTCTTCTAGCCACTCCACTCATCCATCCAACCATTCTCGTTTCTACTATATGAAGGCGTTGTTCTTGTTTATTTTTTTAGGGCCCAACACTCCGCTCCATACACAGTTGGTCTAATAATGGTCCAATAGAATTTTCCTTTTAGCCTATGTGTTATTCTTTTATCTAATAAAATCCTGTCACCATTTTGTCCAAGCTCCAATTCTGTTAGTTATATCGCCACGTATCTCTCCATCCTTTTGTATCAACGATCCTAGATAATGAAAACTCACTAATGTCTCCACGCGTACAAACTTTAGTTTGTGTATTCATATACATATCTTGGATACTTCTTATGACTTATGAAGGAATTTGTTTTCTTTCTAGGGCCCACCAAATTATATGTCTTGGGACCTATCATATGCTTTTTCTAAGTCTATAAAACCCATATGTAAGTCTTGTTGCCTACTCCAACATTCTTCAACTGATTGTCTAAGTAGGTATATAGCTTCCATTGCTGATCTCCCAGGCATAAATCTGAATTGGTTATTGGATACTGTGAATTCCTTCCTTAATCTTGTTCGATTACCCTTTTCCAGATTTTCATTGTACATTTGTACGACTCATATATTTAGTTCCCCTATAATTACCACAATTTTGTAAATCCTATTAATTTTGGTAGATTGGTACTATTGTGTTTTTTTTTTTTTTTTTTTTTTTTTTTTTTTGATAAATAAAAGAATATTATTAAAAGACGCTCAAGAGGGGAGCGAAACGCAAGGAAATACAAACGAGCACAAAGGACTCAAGCCTTCATAGAGGCCAAAAAATCAACAATTTCCCCCAACGATTTATGATCTCTCCTTGAAACCCAACAAAAAAGGGTTGAAATAATCGAGAATTTAAGCACCGAAATCGACATCGCCTTTCCTTCAAAGTATCTCCTATTCCTTTCAAGCCAAATACACCACCACACACAAAGCGGCGTAGCTCTCCACGCATCCTGACTGAGAGCCCCCAGATGGTAACCTCTCCACATCTCAATCAACTCTCTAGTAGATCCTGGCATAACCCAATAAAACCCAAATAAGCCAAGCATCAAATCCCAACACTCTCTAGCCAAAGAGCAATGAATAAGAAGGTGATCCACAGATTCCTCATCATGAAGACACATATAACAACGATTGACCACCACCTAGCTTCTCCTTCTCAAATTATCCTGGGTTAAGATCCTACCCAGAACCGAAGTCCACACAAAGAAAGCCACTTTGAGAGAAGCCTTAGAACGCCAAACAGACTTCCAAGGAAAACGAACTCCGGGATCAAAAGAGAGGCACTTGAAGAAAGACCTCACCTCAAAACGCCCCTTGGAGTTTGCGACCCAATACCAACAATCCGAATCCTCCACCACAATCCTTTAGCGATATAACAACTCCAAGAGACGAATTACCTCATCAATCTCCCAATCCTGAAAGGCACGCATGAATCGAACATCCCAAATCAGTCTCCCATTATCAAGATGATAACAGTTAACCACCAAGGCCTGCCTATCCGAAGCAATCATGTAAAGCTGAGGAAAGGCAAGAGCAAGAGGAGCATCACCACACCACACATCCTCCCAAAAACAAATCCTCCTCCCATCTCTAAGACAAAACCGAATGTGCTTGGAAAAATCATCCCAACCCTTCCGAATAAATTTCCTAACTCCCACCCCCCGAGGATTTCTAACTTCCAAAGAGCTCCACCCTCCTCTCATCTCTCCAAAACGACAAGCCACAACCCTCCTCCAAAGCCAATGTCTCTCCACACCAAACATCCACAACCGTTTTCCAAGAAGGGCCTTATTAAAGGGCACCAATCTACGAATACCCAGCCCACCATTCCGAATAGGCCTACATACCTGATCCCATCTCGCCAAATGGAACTTAAACTCTTCACCTCTGCCCCCCAACAGAAAATAACGCTGCAACCTCTCAATCCTCTCCGCAACTGAAGATGGAATCTGAAAGAGAGAGATAAAATAAGTGGGAAGGCTAGAGAGGGTACTCTTAATCAGAGTGACCCTGCCGCCCTTGGAAACATACTGCTTCTTCCAACCTGCCAACCTTCTCTCAAATCTATCAACAACTGGATCCCAAATCCCCACACACCTCGAAGGAGCTCCCAGAGGCAAACCTAAGTAAGAAATGGGAAAAGCACCAGTGCGACATCCAAGGATGTCAGCAAAAGTCTCAATCTCAGGAACCTCCCCAACCGGCACCAAAACGCTCTTGCCCACATTCACCTTAAGGCCGGAGACGACTTGGAACCCAATCAAGACACATCTCAGATATCTAATCTGGGACACATTCGCATCACAAAGAACCAGAGTGTCATCAGCAAACATCAAATGAGAGATCTCCAACTGAGAAGCAGCATCCCTGCCTACCCAAAAGCCTCTCACAAGACCCAAATCAGCAACCCTTCGCATCAATCTACTAAGGGCCCCCATCACAAGCAAGAACAAGAAGGGGGAGAGAGGATCCCCCTGTCTCAAGCCCCTTGAGCTAGAGAAAAAACCGGTAGGAGCACCATTAACAAGGACCGAAAAGCGAGCACTAGAAATACAAAACTGAATCCATCTCCTCCACCTATCACCGAACCCCATCCTCTCCATCAAGTACAGAAGAAAACTCCAACTCACATGGTCATGCGCTTTCTCAATGTCCAACTTACAAAGAACACCCGGGACCCCACTACACAATCTGTAGTCCACACACTCACTAGCAATAAGGACTGAATCCAAAATCTGACGGCCTCCTACAAAAGCATTTTGAGAGTCCGAAATGATACCATCCAAAACTTTCCTCAATCTAGAAGCGAGCACTTTGGCAATCAACTTGTAGATACAACCCACCAAACTAATAGGGCGAAAATCCCTCACATCCAATGCCCCCCCCCCCCCCCCCCCCCCCCCCCCCCCCCCCCCCCTTCTCTCTCCTTTTTCGGAATGAGAGCAATGAACGTGGCATTCAAGCTTTTCTCAAAAAATCCCCGAGAATGGAAAGCATGGAAAGTGCCCATCACCTCTCCTTTAACCACCTCCCAGCAATCAAGAAGAAACCTCATGGTGAAACCATCTGGACCTGGGGCCTTATCCCCATTGCAGCTCTTCAAAGCAATCAGCACTTCCTCCTCAGAAAAAGGCACCTCCAAACCCAAGCACTCCTCCTCAGAAATAGAGGCAAACTGCAACCCTTCAAGCAAAGGTCTCCACTCAACAGTCTCAAAGAACAACTTCTCAAAGAACTCTGAAATTCCTTTGCAGATGTCCTCCTCCTTACAAAGAGTAACCCCCTCAACCCGAATCCTCCCTATGTGATTTCCTCTTCTATGAGCATTGGCCAATCTGTGGAAAAATTTCGTGTTTCTATCCCCTTCCTTGAGCCATAAGGCTCGAGATTTTTGCCTCCGCGAGATCTCCTCCATGGTAGCAATCT